AGTGGAGGACTGTAAGAGAAGAATAACTGAGATACAGCTGAAAGGTTATAGTGTGAAATTCATGTGGATTCCATCTCATGTTGGAATTGTGCTCAACGAGGTGGCGGATGACTTGGCCAAACGTGCCACATCAAAACCACAAGTTGACATTGAATGTGAATTCACAATTGAGACAAGTAAGAAGCAAAATCAGAAATATTCAGGCACAGGCGGGAGTGGAGAGGAGAGAGATAATGTATGAGAGAAGTCAAACCATGCAACACTACATGTATGTGAGTCAAAACACCCATTTCACTTATGGTAAAAGGAGAAATGCTTGGAGTGACTCTGTACATGCGGCTCAGGCTTGGGTACAAATATTACTGGGAATATGGGATCGATGTTCATGATAATGACACGAAGTGTAAACTATGTGGTATGTTAAGGTCTCATACCCTTGCCCATTATATTCTTGATTGTCCGTTGATTAATGTATATAGAAACACTGAGATAAGGACTGTTCCTGAACAAATAGCCTGGATGTGTCACAACGGAAAGGTTGATGATATTCTTGAGAGATATAAGAATTTTGCACCAAGATTGTAATATTTTGTTGAATTATCTGCAGGTGTCTTGCAAATTGTCTATACAGTATACCTAGGTCATAAAAGTATTTGTGTGTACGTCTGATACCATACTACTTGTGAAGGAGGAAATGTATATGTTTACCTCTCAGAATGTTTGGTAATGTGTTTATTTGTAATGTGTGTCTATGTATATATTAACACGTTGTACTGAATGGGGTGAGAATAGCTTGAGCTACCTCATCCCTTTGTGTGTATTTTACCTCAATAAACTTATTTCAATTTCAATTTCAATTTGGCCTCTGAGGATCGGGTTGTGGAGCTTCATGCTCTTCTCCGGTGCAGGGGTTTCTGTTCTTTTGGTCCTGGAGATAGGTTTGTTCGTCTGCAGCCATCTCCTTCTTTTCTGGCGAAGAATGAAACTGCTACTTTAGGGAGGGGTCTTTGGGTTGCTGATGCTTGGTAGGTCAGGCCAGGTGTGCATCATGTGTTGTGTATGGTTGCAGCCCTCCGCCATTATTTGCGCGCCACAGCTTTTGTGTCCGGGGTCGCGCTTTGGGTTGATCTGGTTTCCCTTCTTCCCTGTTCGTGGGTATGGGTCTCTCAGGTCGTCTGCAAGGTTATTAAGTTTAGTCAGCCTGCGGTCTAACCTCGTGTCTATGACGTTCGTAAGTTTGATGCTCTTGGTGCCGTTTTTGGCAACATGTCCTGGGGGTGACATTCGGGCACGGGGTTTTTGGCGGTCGAGCAAGGTCCTGGCTGCACGCTACCTCGTTAACCCCTGCACTGCTCACACAATTTCGGCAAAAAAGTCTTGGTGCAATTGTCAAGGACATATTTTTGTTGTTTTCATAAATGCTCAGGTAAAGTTAATGTCAAAATGTTTCCAAAGTCAACTATTTCCCTTTCAGAACACAAAGAGTAATGAAAACATTAAAAAACATAAAAATATAGTCTAATTAAAAAACAACACTCACAACTCTTAGAGCGCCTAAAGGCGCTTTGCGCAGTGCAGTGGTTAATGTTCCTGGGCCTAGTTGGGCCTGTGTCGCTTTGGGTCGGCGGCTGCAACCTGTCTCGACTTCGAGTTGAAATGTGAGCACTGACCACCTCCCGGGTTAGTCCCTTTCTTTTTCGTCTTTGGTGAAGTAGCTCCAGGGACCCATAGGGGCTTCCCCCAGTAAACCATTTTCTGGGTGAATCCCAGAGGCTCCCCGGCAACTCTCCTTCCCTCCAGTCGTCAGTTTTTGCATACTGTTTTTTAATATCTAGCCTCAGAACTGAGGTGTAAATCGTCGGAGCGGGGGTCTGGGGCTCCTTCTTCCCTCTTCCGGGGAGGGGAGAAGCTGCGCAGATATGCAGCGCAGATATGCAGCGCAGCTCGTGTGATGTCATGGTCATTTGCTCGTTTTCATTTTGGGAGTTCTGTCCACTCATTTGTCTATTTTTGTTGTTTTAACCAGACTAGGGGTTTGTTTTGGGGTACTTACCTTTCTGGGTGCCTGTACTGGTCAGTGGCAGTTATAGAATACTCCTAAGTCACATGTGTGGTTCAAAATCACTCTGTGGGGGCCAGGTTCTGGCTCATGATCCCTGGTAGGCCTAGAACAACACCCACATCGACTGATGCCAAAGTTAGGGATATTCATATCAGCCAGGATAGCTCCGGGGAGCCTCCGGGGGGCCTCCGGGGGTTGGAGGCTCCCAGAAAATGACGTTTCATTACATTCAACACTTTTTTTTCTCCAGTGTTAAGGAATGGAAAGCTAGTGAAATGGTACTTAAAAACAAGGAGTGGGGAAGGCACCCAGCCTTCCTTCATTATAGGATGGGGAAGGCCTTCCTCTAATGAACAAAATCATTAGAGGAAAGGGGAGTAAAGGGCAAAGGGAAAGGAAACAAGTCTCCGTGGTGTAGTGGTAAGACACTCGCCTGGCGTTCCGCGAGCGCTATGTCATGGGTTCGTATCCTGGCCGGGGAGGATTTACTGGGCGCAATTCCTTAACTGTTGCCTCTGTTTAACTCAACAGTAAAATGTGTACTTGGTTGTAACAACGATTCTTCGCGGCAGGGGATCGTATTCCAGGGACCTGCCCGAAACGCTACGCGTACTAGTGGCTGTACAAGAATGTAACAACTCTTGTATATATCTCTCTCAAAAAGTTCCTGAAAATTGTATATACCAACATAGATGGCATGAGATAAAAAATACTGGAGCTAAGAGATATAATTTAGCTTAACACTTTAGTCCGGGCATGACGCAGCATTGCGTCATCCGTTTACTGTCGGTAATCTCGGGGATGACGCAGCATTGCGTCATCCACTAAAATAATTGCCAAAAATTAGGTTTTTATCCGATTTTTTTGGGACTGTTTGGTAACTGTCAACAAGCCGAATGCAATCTGTGACTACAATACAAACATGAAAGGTGTTGATCACTTTGACCAAATGATCAAATATCATCACTTCATAAGGAAAACTCACAAATAGACGAAGAAAATGACCATCTATTTTGTGCAAATGGCTATCTACAATGCTTATATGATGTACAACTACTACACAAAAAAATACTAAAATATAATACTACATATACTAAAATACTAAATACTAAACATTTGTAGGTAGGAATTGGGAGTGTAGCTGGAAGGCGTCTGGGCGCTCACTCGCGGTTAACGTGTGGCCCGTCTTCAACTCGTCGGCGGGTGGAGCGTGACCAGGTTTTTTATTTTATATGCTAATGTTCCTCTAGAGAATTCTATTGCGAACCCATCGATACCAAAATGAAAGACCTAGGACGAAAATTGAGGTGACCAGAGTGAAAAGAGTGAACACATTTTATAGCTTTTGCGCGTTCCTGGGTAACTCGTTTGGACTTTCTCTGTTTGCTGCGGGTAATTAGCCGGGCTTTTGGAGTTATATGCATTTAGTGCTGTAGAGAATTCTATTGCGAACACAATAATGCCAAATTTAATCTCGTAGGACGAGAATTAAGGTGACAAAGTTGAAGAGAGTATACACTTTTCAGAATTAACGCGCGCTCCCGTGAAACGCTGGGACCCAAATCGCACAGTTGAGGGGTGGCACGCGGGGCACGCCAAAGTGTTAAGTTCCCAGATACCAGTATTGTCACACTAACAGAGACGAAAGTTGAAGAAAATATTTAAAATGAGATCGTAGTCCCAAGGGGGGGGGGGGCTACTCAGTTTGGAGATGTAACAGGGAAAACTAAGAAGGGGGGAACAGTGGCTGTACTGGTAAAAGAATACCTGAAGGTAAGAGAGTTAATAGCCGAAAACCCTTGAAAAGTTGACATAATGGCATTGCAAGTTTAGAATCAGGATGATAAACTGATAATCGTAAATGCCTGTAGCCCACCAGCCAGCAACACATGCACAAAGGAGGAACTAGATGACAAATGAGAGGGTTTCATAATGGTCATGAGAGAGATTATAGTAAAAGCAGATAATGATAAATCATGATTGTTGGTACTGGGGTACTTCAGCTTGAAAGCAACAGACTGGGAGGCCTACAAAGTACGAATGGAGGAGATTTGGACAGGCAGATTTGTAAACCCCATTCTGGAGACATTCATGTATCAACACGTCAAGCAAGCCACAAGAATGAGGGACGGGGATGTTCCGTCAATACTGGATTTAATATTCACCAGGAAAGAAGAGGAGATATTTGACATCCAATACCTTTCTTCCTTGGGAAAGAGTGATTATGTCCTGTTGGAAATTAATATGCTTTTGCGATATAATCTGAAAGAGAATGGGGACATTGAAACAGTTTGATAAATTTGATTTCAAGAGAGGACACTGTGGGGAACTTAGAAAATTCTTCAATGAGCTTGGACAGACTTGCTGCTAGGCAAGGAAGTAAATGAGATGTATGCCAAATTTTGCGAAATATACGATAAAGGCACACAAACATTCATACCAAAACAGAGATGCAGGACCAGAAAACAGGATTGGTTCAACAGAAATTATGAGAGGGCCAGAGAGGAAAAGACTAGAAAATTGGCTCAATATAGGCCCATTTTGAGCTTGTGAGGATGTAGGTTGTACTCTTCAACCAGGTATGGATCTGTTTTGATTTGCTTACCTTTCTGGGCGCCTTCCCTAGATGATGGCACAATGACATACGTACTTTAAATGTGAAGTGTTCATAGGCCATTGCTCCTTTCGCCTCCCTGAGGAGGCCAGGTTCTGGCTCGTGGTCCCCGGCAGGCATACAAAGAACTCTGCAACTGATGACATTCAAATAGTATGGCACTTGATCAGTAAGATAGCTTTAGGAAGCCTCTCTGGCACACCCAGAACCTGGTGTTTCATTACATTCAATGCTGGTTTTTCCTTTTATATTGGATTTTTATTTGTTTAGTATTTTAGTTAATGTGTGCACTTTGTTAATTTAATAACCATTTGTCTTCTCTAGGAGATATAGCATCAACGTCACAGGAGCACCAGCTGATAGAGGATGTGTTGAGTGTGATGATGGGAATTGAAGGGATGTACATCACAGTTCAACCCCCTACCAAACATTATGATCCCCCTGAGTTTACAGTTGATCCTTCTGTAGGTATGTAGAACCCATTGTTTCGTGTTCTATTTTGTGAATAGAATTTTGTGGACATAAACACAACACATTTATGTGATGTGTTGTGGGTAGAGCAGTACTACCCCGGCAGCTGGTAAATACCTAATACACATAAAGGAAAAAAAAAAAGAGGTTAAACAAATTAATATACGGCTGCTTTTACGTCCTTTGCAGTGTGAATAATTGTAGGGATAATTTAAGAAACATGAACATTTAAACATTTAAACCTATAAACAAATTATTAAACAAATAATCATGAACTGTACACAAAAATAATATAACCCTTAAACCGCTAAGGGCTTTTTGGCCTGCAACACCGCCAGGTGCAACAAAAAAAAAAAGCCCAAAAATTCTTTCATCCTATAAAAGTGTTCATTTGTATTCCCTGATCTTGGGAAAAAGAATAATACATTGTAGGTGACATATTTTGGCTGCAATAGGGCAGGGAAGTTTGGCAAAAAATGTGTGAACCATCGCTATACTCCAAATTATGGTGTGCATATTAGGGATTCAATTATTATGTTCATAAAACAATAAAAAAAGTTTTGCTGTTATTACGCTATATACACAGGTTATATATAAGTACTCTATCTTCATGTTTTGGTCACCATAATGAACCACTAAGTTAGTATGGTGAGTAAAAAAGCAACGAGGAGTGGCCACCACACCTGCCAGCCCGCCACTGGCCACCACTTCCTTCCTCATCTCACCTCACTCGCCAACAATCTCCTCCCACCATAATGTTTTTGCTTTTATTTACTATATACAAATGTTATATATAAGTATCTACATGTTTTGTTCACCATAACTGTTCATCTAAGCTGGTATGGTGAGTTAGGGAATAAAAAGTCACCACACAGAGTCAGCTAATGCTCCCTCCCCTCCCTCACTCTTTCAAGGCCAAAAACACTAACATTCCTCCTCCAACCATATTATTTGTAGTGTTATTACACTATAAGCACACATATAAGTATCTACATGTTTTATTTACCATAACTGTACAGCTAAGCTGATATGGTGCCCAAACAGCATAGTGGCCACCTTACACTATGCCACCTTCCTCGCCAAAATGGCTCCTGCCAACATACTCCTTTTGCTGTTATTACACTATTTACACATGCTATATATAAATATCTACATTTGTGCTCACCACAGCAAACCACTAAGCTGGTATAGTGACTCCAGACAGTAAAAGGTGGCCACACAGAATCAGCAGATAATGCTACCACCTTCCCCACCAAGATTACCTCTTCCACCACAGTGCTAATTATCACCACAATCCTGCTATTATCAGAATTCTGGTAATTTTTATCACAGGGGTCTTCTGTAATACTATCATCGTTAAATAATAGCATGTACATATATATTTTGACATTTTTAGGCGATGCTGTGGTCACAAGCTGAACAGCAGTGCTGTGAGCTCAAGCTGCGTGTACTAGCCTTGGTGGCTCACTCAGAACTGAGGCTCTCACACCCAGATACGTTACCCACGATTTTTTTTAGGTGGCATCTATTTACTATCAGCCGTGGCTGGACTATAGCTGCCCCTATCCCTTGTGGGGCATTTAAAATCGTGTGCTAGACCCTCAATCATATATGTATGTATTGCACTGTTTCGGGAAAGTTACTCCCCATCGAATATGTATGTATTGCACGGTTTAAGAATTAAACAAGAAATGATATTATAATCTTGAAACCTGGCTTTAGCAAAGGCAAATTAATATAATAATGACTTTACGTTAATTTCAAAGGTGACTGTACACTTTATACATGGTACTGACTGTCTTCCGTCATGCGTTATAGTCAAGACCACGTCGACAGAGAGAAGATGTGTAATCCAGCACCAAAAGTCATATGACCTCCATGCCATCAGCAGGTGCTTATATACACTGGTGGTGAAGCAGGCCGGCGAGTAGCGAGGTCTTTGAACAATCTGCCAGCTGAATGAGGGTCGTTAGCTGGTGGTGAAGTATGAGCCGGCAAGCCTCTGGCGGGCGGCTCTCGTGGAGTAGTGGGGGGGGGGGTAATCAATGGTCAAAACGTTTTGGTCTTGGCGGGTCTTGATGTTGATATTGCATGCTGGTGTCGAGGATGGTAGGAAGGGGCAGAAACCACTGCTTATGCAGGGGAAATAACGTAACAGTGTTGATACTTTTAATACCAAATTAATATCCCCTTTGTTATGCCTATTCATCCATATGTACACCACTATCATGTCACCTCTAATTCTTCGCCTTTCTAAGAGAATGTAAATTAAGCCTTGTCGATCACTTCATATGACGGGTTTTTAATTTGCTGGATTAATTGTGTCATCCTACGCTGGACGCATTCTAGTGAATTTATTTCCATTCTATAGTATGGCGACCAAAACTGAACTGCATAATCTAAATGGGGGCCTAACATGAGCAAGATATAGCCAAAGAATAACACCAGGTGTTTTATTACTAATGTTTCAAGAAATAAATCCCAGTGTCTTATATGTCTTATTATGAACATATATGTATTGATTTTTTGGTTTTAAATTCTTACTAATCATAACTCCCAGGTCCCTTTCCCAATCCGACTTTGCAATCTCAACACCATCTAGCTCCTATCTTATAACTATCATCATTACCTAGCCTCAAAACCTTACATTTGTCAGCATTAAACTGCATCTGCCAATCTTTTGACCATTTCAAAACTCTATTTATATTGTCTTGAAGTGATAGTGAGTCTATTTCCGTGTTTATTTCCCTCCCACTTTTTGAATTGTTGACAAATTTGTAAATATTGCTGCTCAAGCCTGAATCTAAATCATTTATATATATACTGTATTATGAATATTAGTATATTTGGGTAGCAGTGTTTCTTGTAAACATATGTTGTTGAATATGACTGAAAAGGTAAGATTAATAATTCTAACACAAATTTTTTCAACATATCTTATGTTTTTCTTCGTTGTCGATGGTAATTGAAATATCAAATCTCCAAAATTCATTTTTATTTATGATCTGACACCTAGAAGCATTTAGTAAAGGCTTCTTACATTCTCAAAGACTTGTTTTCACTTAACACTACACTTATGATACACTTGATACACTGTGTATGATATATTTAACGTTGTTGTTGTTTAAGATTCGCTACTTGGAACAAAAAATTCCAAGTCGCCAGGGCTATAGTGAGCCCATAGTGGACTTACCTGGCACAGGAGCGGGGCTCTCGTGGACTCTCACTGGACTGCATGCTGCTGCTGCATGCTGAGGACTGCTGCCACCTGTCATGGAATGCTGCCTGCAACCTCGCCATAGCTATGATTTTCACCACGATCATCTCTACATTTTCATCTGCTACGGCTTGCTGCTCCACGATTGTTACTCACTCATCTGACAGCTTCATCAGCAACTACGTCATGTGGGATTTACAGCCTGTCCTGCTGACTCTCCGTCGCTGCCAGGGCACTGCTTGTACTACAGGAACTCCCACGAAAGCTGCTCTTTTGTCAGATTCATCTTCACGTTCACTGCATTCTGATACTCTGCCGACTCAAGTACTTTGCACAGTACAGGACTTACAGCTTGCGTTTCGGACTCTTCGTCGCCTCCACTGCTAGATTCAGCTCTAGCAGTGATTCCCTCGTTGCCCTAACTATGTGCTTACATTACCTTCTATTGTCCTAGTGCCCGAGCCCATCCGCCCCAGATCTAAATGCTCCACCAGCGACCCAAAGACGCAACAATCATGCACATTCTTCTCTCCTGCTACACCGAGCTTGTCCACACACTGCCTGCATCTTTTGGTACCGGACTACATGTTCCACAGCGACCTAGGGAACAGTAGCCTCGTATTTTTTGTTGTATAGCTTTTCTTTCATTCCCTGGCAGGGGGAGTTCTGTAGCGAGTAAACCTTATACTCGCTCCATTATCTCATCATCTTAATGGCGTAACTAATTAGCACTAACTACACAAGCTATAATCCTATCCCTATTTACAGGTAACAGTTCTTCCAGCCTCCTATCTTATTGGAGGGAGCTGAGGTGTAGTCACCATATATAAGCAAGCAATATGAGAATATCAAACGGTACAATTTCCAGTCAAGAATGTAGCACTCGGGGTATGCAGTTCTAATCGACCCCAAGACACTACAGCTTCAGCTTCTACACAGAACAGACAGCAGACTAGGACCACATCCAGCTACAACGCTCTCCCACATAGAGTTCTGTGACTCCGGCCTCACTTGGCTCTCTGCTCTGCTCCAAGCTCCGTCCCAACGTCTACAACACTGCTGTATCCAAGACTACTAAATAAATATGAAAACCCACTAAATACTGTGTATCTAATCTACTCAACAACGTAACATAATTGTATGTTACATTGGTATAATAAATAACATATATGCACATGGAAAATACTGGAGGGCCAGGTCCCAAATCTACACAGTTAAATAACAACGTACTGAAGTGAACGATATGGAAGAAAATGCAGAATAGAACCAGTAAAGAGCAGGGGTTCCATAGGCACAATCAAAGAACACTGTATAAACATCAGAGGTTCCATTATTCCATTTTCATGTGTTTTAACAAATGTGATGCATGTACTTCGATTGTTTGTCGAGTCCCGCCAATTCAAAAATATGGTACTGTACTCGGCCTCATGTGATTACTTTTGTGGTTGAAATGTTTACATGTGCATATTGGTTCTACATCCTTGTTTTAAGGTAACATATCTATACTATAAGTAAGGAAGTAAGGACAGGTTTTGCAAGTCTGTACTCGAGGGTACAGCTTTCAAGCTCGAGCCCTTACAAGGAGATGCCAGGTTCTGGCTCTGGTTCCCAGTAGGAAAACAGAACTCCATGACTGATATGACCTAGTAGTTTAAAGCTATCTCAGTGAAATAGCTTCAGGGAGCCCAAGGGGCTTCCACAGAGGACAGAACCACCTGGTCTAAAACCAAAAATGAAAAAGAGAAAAGGGTGAAATGACAATAAACCAGCCACCTGCTCGCCACTCAAACTGCAATACACTCGCATCAGAAAACCAGATACATAGAACAGAGGAAGTGGAACCAGACAGGTACATTGCCAGACTGAGCTGCCAATAGTGGTGGAGCTGCAGAAAAATTAGTGGGTTCAGACACCGAGCCACAAGAGCTGGAAGTCAAGGATGAGCCAGCCACCCAGGAACAAGAAGGATCACTCTCCCCAAGAACAACTCCAGTATGGAGAGCATCTGGAGCAACAATTGAACAAGATTGGAAAGATATGTAACCCCGATCTCAACCCGTTCAACTGAAAGGCAACCATTGTGAAAGCCGCACAATCGGATCCATATAGAGGGGGAAGTACCAGTTCCATGCCGACATGAACAGGTCCACCTCGGAGTGACTGAACATCTTGCAAAGCCAACGGAAGGTCACGTTGTCAACTATCCATTCCACAGAAATAGGACAGAAGTGAGATAACTCATCTGCGAGAATGTCAAGATACAGCTCACACATGAACTGTACAGGAGTCAAACCCTGAGAATCCAGAAACCAAGCTACCCAAAGAGTCCAACACCATAAGAGTAGAACCAAATAGAGCTGGAGAATGGAGCCTGGAGGAAGTCAATACCTCCACAGGGCCTGCCACACTGCTGCAAAATCGGAGATTGGGGCTGATGGAACAGCCCCAATCACTGACCCTGGTAGACTTGGTGAGTGAAAGTCACATAGCGCCATCCCAGAGCCGAGGCATTCGTGAACACATTGGGCAATGGGGAAGGATGGCAGCTGGAACCGAGTCCTGAAAAAGCCCCAACAGGAAGCCAGCGAAACAAGAGTTCACGTAGGGTGGACAAGGCCTGAACCCAATAGTTCCAGCAGCAGCAGCAAAATGGGTTGAACAAGAGTAATCAGTACAGTGCCAGGAGACTAACCTGCCCTTGAAAAATACCACACAAACAAAATGCAGGTTCCTGCACAACCACTTGACTCACAGTCAAGTGAGTGAGTCACTCAGGGCCTATCCAACACCAGATGTAACAACACTGCAGGTGGAGCAGTCACAAGAGACAGGGATAAAGATGCCAACCAGAAGTTCCAAACGAGGCCCAGGTAGGCCAAACCTTTAACGAAACCAATTGGGACCTCTGAATGACACCAGGAACTTAAACCTGGTGAACTGAGGAAAAACCAGGTTCCTGGCCCGCTTACAAGCGGATAGACTGGAGGCTAAAGTCAGCCAGTCGTCGAGAAGTGAACATATGCCAACACATGACCCCCAAGAGAGGTAACTGGGTCACCATTACCCAAGGGCACCTACGGACCCTCCACAGGCTCTCTCCCTAGCCCTAGAAGCCAGCCATGACAAACCCCCAGGGCAGAGCTGTATTCCATGCTCAATGCCTGGGAACAGAATGGCATCGTCCTAATGAAATGGACCGGAGGTTGGAGACTTATCTGGGGGGAGAGTAGTTCTCTTGGCTCCTTGGTGGCTAGCCCAGCCTTGGTTTCAGGCGCTGTTTGCTCGCGTGTCCGAACCTAGGGACCCTCCCGCGGCTCCGCCTCTTTCAGCAGATCGGACCAGTCCGTTACAAGGCTGGTTCGATCTTCTCCTCGAGTCTTTCTGACTCAAGTCTATCACCACTTATATGATGCGCAGGTGGCTTCATGGATGGTGTCCAACTGTGTGCTTCGTCTCGGCACCAGTATGAAATTTCCTGGCTGTCCTTCCGGTATTTTTTGTCTCTTCGTTAGTTTACTTCGGTCTCTGTTCAGGTTGTTTTGTCCTTATTTTCGTTGTTGTTCCAGGACCATCACCTTATGCTGAATACTGTCTCCTCGTATCGTGCGTCATGTGCGGAGTCGCTGCAGCTTGCATTCGGCATTGATGTTACTTCTGAACCATTCCGCAAGATATCTCGGGTGTTGTTTCACCTCTGGCCTGCTCATGCATCGCCTGAGCTATCCCGGTCGGCGTTATTTTTGTGGTTTTTGACATCCAGCCTCAGAACTGCAGGGTGGATAGCCGGTGCAGGGATCTGCGGCTCTCCTCCTCCCGGGAAGGGGGGAGCTGCACAGACAGCGGCGCGGTGATGTGGTGACGTCATGCTTGTTTTCGTTTGGGGAGTTCTGTCCACTAGTTCGGTTTTCAGAAGCAAATTCTTAACCAGAATAGGGGTTTGTTTTGGGGTGCTTACCTTTCTGGGTGCCTGACCCAGTGGATGGCAGACATAGAATGCTTCCGACCACATGAGGGGTTTCTATAGACCATTGCTTCTCCTGCCTCTTTGAAGAAGTCAGGATCTGGCTCGTGGTTCTTAGGTCTGGTAGGCCTAAGGACTCCATTTGCTTGACTGATGCCAGGGGTCTAATACATTCATATCAGCCCAGTTAGCTCTGGGAAGCCTCTGGGGCTCACCCAGAAAATGGCGTTTCATTACATTCAACGCTGGTTTTATAGTTGAAGTTTTTTATCCAGTATTAATATTATTAATGTGCATTCTTTTCAGAACCATCCCTAAGTACACTGGTGAGTCGAATCCTGCCTTTATGTGGTTACTACTCTCAGCTTATAAGATTTGTTGAAAACAAGAGTTGCTACCACCATGGGCTGGTGAACCAGGCACTGTCTGCAGCTATAACAAACCTCATCAAGGACTATATGGTGAGGGAAAACTTTGAGTAATTACCTTGTTTAATTACATAAATGTAGTTTCAGGATGAGAGCTAGGTGCTTCATCTTCTCTATTAGCTTCATCACAGGATGTTTTGAAGTTTTTTAATGTTTTTGCATACACTACCTTCTTGTTTAAATTATTCTGTCTACTATTTTGTTTGCAATAGTATATACACACACATTTGGTTAGCAGTATTTGTTTTCTTGTTTTTGATGTGAGTTTTAAAAGTTCCTCCTTATGAATTTTGTCTTTTAGTTAAAATATTTCATGTGCTCAGTAAATGTCACTGTTGGTTCTATTGGACCTCTACTGTATTAGAGACTATTGACCAGGATTTATTGATAGTTGATATTTTTATATGTGGTCTAGGAAATCTAGTGTTAAAATTGTTTCAGGTTTCAGGCACCCAAGGCAAGCTGAACTTGCACTCCCTTAACCACTGCACTGTGTCTCATTATAATATGACATTCCTGTGGTGTGCTGGAAAAAAAATTATGATAGCTTCTTGTATTGTTAAAATGCATTCTCTGAACATGAGAAACTTAAAATAAAATATTTTATGTGATATACTTTAGCCGTGATGGAGCAGAGAAGTTGAGCAATTTTTGAGCACTGAGTGATTAGGTGCTTGAAACCCTCGCCCCAGAGACCCCGTAGGGTGGTAGTTGCCGCGAATATAATTTTTCATAATTATTTCAGTCTCATTGTTTTTTCTCTTTGTTTTCTATGGAGAGCCCTGTCGGCTCCATAGCTATCTTACTGATCAAGGGCCATACTACTTGTGTGTTATCAGTTACAGAGTTCTTGTATTGCCTACCATTCACTGCACCTCCCCCTCCCATGGGGGGGGGGGATGTTAGCCGGGCCGCCACCAACCATTTCTTGACTGATGTGGTGCTGAGTGGGTACTGTCGCTCTGGCTCAGTGTTCCCATTTTCTTTGGGGTTTTCACCCTTACGGCAGTGTTATAAACGGAGATGTTCATGTAGCCAGAAGTTTAGGTGTACTGGAGCTGCATACATCTATGGTCACTGTCCCTAGGTGCTCCGTAAGTACTGCCCTTTGCATGGTCAGGGTTATCTTCCCTGGGGTGTTCGGGATTCAGTCCCTGTTAGAGGATTTCCTTGCTTGCGGTAGTCTTCGTCCTTGGGGTGCTTTGGGGGCTTTGGGCGTTCTATCTTGCCCAAGGTAGGGGAGTGTTTATTGGCTGGTGAGGCGCAATGCGACTGGCACAGCCTGATTTTCAGCTATCACATGGCGGGCTGAATTTCTCCTTGACTGCTTGTTTGCTGTGGTGGAGTTTCAATTTTTTAACTGTATTTTCACGATAATCGGCATGTTATTTTGCCTGATTTGGTGGAGGAGTTTTGCTTTTCACCTCATTACGCTTCACCTAGGATGTGAAAGTGGTCCTCCTCTGTTGCCCCCGAGGCTTTACTGCGGCTACTGTGGTCATGGGCTTCCTGTAAGGTTTATTCAGCCTCCAGGTCCTGGAAAACTTCAGCGGGCTCGGTTGTAGATACCTTCTCTGGGTCTGCTCTTGCCTTGTGCGAATTCGAAAGCTGCTCGTTGCATCTACCTCAGGATGGTGATCATCCATTCTGCCTCCGTGTTGCCTGTTGGTGCGGGGACACCTTTGACCCAGTGTCTTGTGGGACTTGCTGCTCACTTGTGCTCCAACCCCCCCCATCCCTCTTCTGATATTATACAGGATTTGGCAGTGGCAGTGTTGCACAGGCATTTCTCAGTGTTGCAACATGCCAGGTTGGGTGCCTGTTTGAAAGCCTCGCAGGTGCTCCGCTTGTGTTTTCGGAACTCGGATTTGTGAGCGTTGGTTGCTTTGACTTTGGATCAGTCAAGTGCTTGCATATGCAAGTGTTTGCATAACGCAAGCACTTACGAATCTGTACATCTTTTCTCAATCTTTGGCGGCTTTGTTTACAATTATTTAACAGTTAATGAGCTCTGAAGCACCAGGAGGCTGTTTATAACAATAACAACAGTTGATTGCGAAGTTTTCACAATCATGCTTGTAAACTGTTTAACACTTTCGCCCACCGATGACTAAGTATGGAGTCAAAATTTTATTACCTTATTTCCACTCATGACAAAGTATGGAGTCAGAAATAAAAAAAAAAATTGGCCCTCTTTCGGGTTGGATGCGAATACATTGATAACGAAATGAAAGACCTAGGACGAGAAATGAGGTAACAAAGTTTAAAAGAGTAAACCCATTTTATTGCTCTTGATGAGTGCTCATGGAGGTAATGCACTGTCACTTTCTCCATTTGCTTTTGGACATTATATACATATACTCCTGTAGGAAATTTCATTGCGAATACATTGATAACAAAATGAAAGACCTAGGACGAGAATTGAGGTAACAAAGTTTAAAAGAGTAAACCCATTTTATTGCTCTTGATGAGTGCTCACGGAGGTAACGTGCTGTCACTTTCTCTGTTTGCTGTGGGTGGTACGCTGGACTTTTGGACTTTATATATGCATATACTCCTATAGGGAATTCTATTGCGAACACAATGATACAAAAGTGAGAGACCAAAGTGAAAAGAGTGTACACATTTTATTGCTCTTTAGCGCTCCCTGGTAACTTTGTCACTTTCTCTGTTTCGTGCGGGTGATACGCCAGGCTTTCGGACTTCATATGCATTTAATCGTGTAAAGAATTCTATTGCGAACACATTGATATCAAATTGGTAAACCTAGGATGAGAATTGAGATGACAAAGTTGAAAAAAGTATACACTTTTCAGTATTACCGTGCGCTCCCGTGGAATGCCCAAAACCACTTGGACAGGTTGAGCGATTGATGTTGGCCCGCGAAAGTGTTAATATATGTAACCAAAGCCATCAAAGTTTGAGGAAAGATGTACACGTTCATAAGTACTTGCATAACTGCTTCGTGAATCTGGTCTCACAATTTGTGGGCTTTTCGGGTCGTTTCTCTCGGCTTGTGGTGGCATTGGGTGGCTCCTCCTCCTTTGGGGGGGTTCGGGGCTGATGGGGCAGGCCTCCTCTCCTGCGCTCTGTCAGGTCATCTTGGGGTGGGTGCGCTTTGGCGTGGTCGAAATGATGACGTCTCTCAGGTGGGTTTTCCGTCTGTTCCCAATTCCAAAACGGGACTGTGCGGACCTGCAGTTCATTCTGGACTTGTCCCGTCTGAACCCTTGGGTTTCTTGTCCCTCGTTTCGGATGACCACTCTGTCCCAGGTCTGGCTTCTGTTGGAGCCGGGCGCTTGGATGGTATCCTGGACCTCAAGGATGCATATTGGCACGTCCCTATTCATCTGGGATTCAGGGACTGCCTCGGTTTTGTTGTGGGGCGTCAGGCTTACCGCTTTCGTTGCCTCCCTTTTGGATTGAATCTGACACCTCGGGTGTTCACATGCTTTACCCGGGTCGCCGTGGCCCGTCTGCATCAGTTAGGTGTTCGGATGTTGGCTTACCTCAACGACTCGCTGGTTTGGGCTCCTAGTCGGTTCGCGTGGCTGCTCGCCAGGGGTTTGGTGCTTTCCCAGCTCGCTGAGTTCGGGTTCCTGGCGAACTGCAGGAAGTCCCGTTTTGTTCCCTCCCAGGTTCGGACCTAGCTGGGTCTTGTGTGGGACTCTCGGACTGCTTCCCTGTCTCTTCTTCCGGCATCTCTCTTTCAGCTACGGTCTCACCTGTGCTTGTTTCTGGGGGGCTCCTGGGTCACCCGGCAGTTGCTCGAGGGTTTGTGTGGGAGCCTGAACTATGCAATGTTGGTCTACCCGCCGGGTCGAGTTTGGCTTCAACGCTGTTCTGGTTCCTTCTGGGACGACCCTTACGCCTCTCTCGTGATCGCTAGGTTCGTCCCCCAGGGGCCTAGTGTCGGCTGCTGTGTCGCCAGCTTCCTCTTTGGGCTTTTCGGGGTTCTATGCCTTGGCGTCTTCTCGCTCGATGTGTTCACAGACACATTGACTCGGCTGGGGCTTTGTGACCAGTGCTCACCAGGCCGGCCAGGAGCGGTGGGGTCCGTCCTTCCATCGGGTCCACAGCACGATGTGGGAGTTCGCGCTGGTGTGGTTTGCGCTTCGGAGGGTTCGGGTCGCCCGTGGATCGATGATCCGGCTCCATTCGAACTACTCCCAGATGGTTCATTGCCTGAACCGAGGGGGTTCGATGCGGTCCTTGGCTCTTTGGGGTTGGTTGCTTCGGGTGATTCATCTGCTGAGTTCTCGGGGTTTGGCTCTCCTGGTGGTTCATGTCCGGGGGGTGTCCAACATCCTGGCGGACAGCATGTCCCGGTTTTTTCCCCTGTCAACAGAATGGACGGTAAACGCTGACTCATTTAGTTTGCTTTGCCAGACGTTCGGGCGCCCGGAGGTGGACCTCTTCACGTCGGCATGGTCAAGGCGTCTTCCGGTCTACATGGCGCCCTTCCCCGACTGCGAGGCTGTCGGGATCAACGCCTTTTGGCAGGACTGGTCGAGGTGGAGGTTCCTGTCACTTTTTCCCCCGGTTCAGCTGTTGCTTCAGGTCCTGGCTCACTTGGAGACTTATCAAGGGCGAGTAGTCCTCTTGGCCTCATGGTGGCCGGCCCAGTTGTGGCTTGCCCGGTGTCCGAACCGGGAGGTATTTCCTCGGCTTCGCCTCTTTCAGGAGATTGGCCCGATCCAGTACGACACTGGTTCACTCTTCTTTGCGAATCTTCGCGTTTGGTGTTTTTTACTTTGACTATCGCCATCTCTATGGCGATCATGTGGCTTCCTTGCTGGTTTCCCACCTGCAGGCTTCCTCTTGGCAGCAGTATGAGGTTTCCTGGCGTCCTTCCGGTTCTTTTTGTCCCTTCGTCGTTACTCTTCGCTTTTGGTTCGGGCGGTGTTATCCTTTCTCTCTTGGTTGTTCCAGGGCCGTCATCTTATACCTAATACTGCTGCCTCGTATCGTGCGGTATTGGCGGAACCACTGCAGCTTGCTTTTGGTATCGATGCTACTTCTGCGCCATTTTGCAAGCTATCTCGTGCGTTGTTTCACCTCCGGCCTGCTCATGCGCCGCCTGAGCCGTCCTGGTCTTTGGACAGGGTGCTCTCCTATCTTTCTTCTCCTTGATTTGTTGTGGCCCCTTTGATTCAGGATTGTTTTGCTAAGACTCTTTTTCTGTTGGCATTAGCCTCTGGGAGTCGTGTGGCGGAGCTTCATGCTCTTCTCCGGCACAGGGGTTTTTGCTCTTTTGGTTGTGGTCATGGGTATGTCCGTTTACAGCTGTCTCCTTCTTTTCTGGCAAAAAATGAGACTGCTGCCTTCTGGAGGGATCCTTGTGTTGTTGATACTTGGTTGGTCAGGCCGGGGATTCATCATGTGTTGTGTCCGGTTGCGGCCCTCCGCCATTATCTGTGCGCCACGGCTTCTGTGTCCGGGGACGCGCTTTGGGTTGATCCGGTTTCCCTACTTCCCTGTTCGCGGGTTCGGGTCTCTCAGGTTGTCCACAGGGTAATTAAGTCTAGCCAGCCTGCGGACTATCCCCGTGCGATGACGTTCGTAAGTTTGCTTCTCTTGCTGCCGTCTTTGGCAATGTGTTTTGGGCTGACATTCGGGCATGGGGTTTTTGGTGGTTGAACAGGGTCCTGGCAGCACGCTACCTTATGAACGTTCCTGGGCCCAGTTGGGCCTTTGTTGCTTTGGGTCGGTGGTTGCAGCCAGTTGTCTCGACTTCGAGTTGAGGAGTGGAACACCGACCGCCTCCCGGGGTAAGTCCCCTTTTTTCTTTTGTTGTCTTTGGTGAAGTACCTCCGGGGAGCCGTAGGGGCTCTCCCCAGAACACCAGCGTTGAATGTTATGAAACACCATTTTCTGGGCGAGTCCGGGAGGCTCCGTGGCAACCCTCCCTCCCTCCAGTTGGCATTTTTTTCGTGGTTTTTGATATCCAGCCTCAACTGGGGGTGGGGATCGCTGGCACGAGGGGTCTGCGGCTCCCCCTTTCCCATCCCGGGGAGGGGGAAGCTGCGCAGACATGCGGCGCGGCTCGTGTGACGTCATGCTTGTTTGCTCGTTTTTCTTTTGGGGAGTTCTGTCCACTCATTTGACAATTTTCATTGCTAACCAGAATAGGGGTTGGTTTTGTGGCGCTTATCTCTCTGGGGTGCCTGTCCCAGTCAATGGCAGATATAGAATGCTCCAAATCACATGTGCATTTCTATGGGCCATTGCTCCTCGTGCCTCTGTGAGGGGCCAGGTTCTGCCTCGTGATCCCCAGTAGGCCTAGAACTCCACCCACATCGACTGATGCAAAATAGCTAGGGTATCCTATCAGCCATAGATAGCTCCGGGGAGCCTCCGGGACTCGCCCAGAAAACGGCGTTTCATTACATTCAATGCTGGTTTTTTCAAATTCCTGTTACAATTTTGTATGTTACATCTTTTTCTTCAGTCTGCTAGTTTTCACTGTTTTGCAGAACCATTTGAGTTACAAAATATTTTCCCACTTAGTTGTATGTTGAGACTAGCAACCAAGATATTTGGCTTTTAGCATTATTTATCAACACCTGTATCTCTATCCATTATGTTGATTGTAATATTATGAAAGGTTATAATGTGTTGTTGTGTTGCAGCTGCTGGTGACACAACTAGAAGAACAGCACCAACATTGGGCTCTCACCCTGCATAAGCTTTATTTCTATGTGGAGAAGACAATGTCAGTCATGGATATGCTAGCGTGTGTAACAAAAGTGATCAACAAAGTAAGCTAAGTATTTAGTTAAATAGTTTTAGAATTATTTAATATGAACTTGAACTAATAATAATACGCTATAGCTGTTTCATTATTTGTATTAAAATTGGGATGCAGATTTTATAATTTATCATTACGCTGGTAAATCCTGTCAATGTAGAAGCCCTAAACTGCCCGAAGCCAAAGCCGAAGGAGCAGCAAGGAGGTTCTACAGCACATGCCCCAGGCAAGCCTAATAAGGCAAAAGGCAGAACCCCCATGCAAAAACAGTCAAAAACCCAATTAAAGCAAAGAAAAGCCTTCCCAAGACAAACTGAGTCAAACGAGCAACTTGGGAGAAATGTTGGCATGCTTTGTGTTACTTAAATAACTGGTTGCACAGACCACAGTGTGCTCCATCAGCCAAAAACACTCCCAAACCGAGGAAAGACAGTCACAGACCACCGGCTGTGGGGAAAATCTACCAGTGATTACACACACAAATCACAATAACGTGATGCATCAAATGAACAAATCCTCATCACGGCCCTTGTGGATTTGTTCTACAGTGATTATTTAATGTAATTGAATTATTATTCAGTGGACTGTAATTATTTTAATTGTTAAATTATTATTATAAAGTGGACTGTATGGGTTATGTTATTTAAAATCACTTATAAACTTCCACTAAACACACAATTGGGGGGGTTTCAATTATTAAATTGGTTATACTGTATTTAAACGGTTAACATTTTTTATTTTCACTTAACTGTAATTTAACAGTTAGTGGATATTGTTAGTATGAATAATTATATCCTTATCTGACTAGAAGGCTTCGCCAGTAATCATGAAACCGATATTGAACACGTGAGTGGATCTGACAGCTATGGCATTGTCCTCAGTCACGTCGCCTCAACATTAATGGCAATTCTTCACTAACAGTGTTCCCGACTCCAGCCCATCAAAAACATGCACTGAAGCTATGTACAACTATAATAATTATAATTATTATGATTTTATGGCAAATCTATGACTCGGCTTACTAGTACTGTACAGTATTATGAAACTAACCCATTTTGGGCTGGGAGTCATGCCATATAACCATCAATACCTATAATATCTTATATTAGCCAGTTAAGAACTAAGACAAATAATTAAGCACATCCCTGTCATTGTCTTAGTCAAATCCATTTGTCAATTAGGGAATTTAATTTTTCAAATACAGACGATGCAATTCAAGTGACACTGATAAAATTTGTGTGTATTAGCTGGGAAGGCTTGATGCAATGATAATGGCTTTTTCCTTCCTCCCTGGGGATGTGTGCAAAAAAAATTATTCTCTGAGTTTTATTAATAATTGAGAGGAGGAGTTTATTCTATTCACTTGATTGATAATTTAGTGAAGAGTAATTTGTTAGATCTAGTCCTGAGACTGTTTAATTAAGTATTTATTTGAATAATTATTTGAGTATTAAATTGATTTCTGCTACGTGTCAAATATATCTCGTTTTCTAGAGGAAATATCCACAAATAGTTTTCTCTTGAATGAGTAACTGACGTATTTTGATATTTAATTTATACAAAATCAGCAGCAATATTATTTCCTGCACATTGTATTCGAAGTTAGTAATTGTTGTCGGAAATTTCCGACACCGGCTTACCTGAAGGGTGAGGAGGCCCCCTAAAGGGAGTGTATCCTGAACATTAAAGGTAAGAAAATAATGGCCATGCAAGGGAAGTACTTCAGGAGTGCACAGAGAAGATAACCCTGAGCTCATGCAGCTCCAAGAACACCAAACTCCTGGCTCATGCTATGCAACTGCATAGAACCACATTCCAAGCAGGGTTGCCAGAGCCAAAAGAGCTGAATTCGTGAACGTAAACAGCTGGGACACAATTGGGCTCCATAAAACCCCAGCGGGCTACAAAGCCCAACAAGGCAACCCTGCCCCAAAGGCCCTAAGCAACACCACTTAGCTGACAATAGGAGACTGGAGCCAGAGTGACTAGAACTGCACCAAGGCACCATCAGCTTAGAACTGAAGGGGGGGGTGGGGGCCTGGCTTACCTGGTTTGCCTCCTTTCCCCACAAACGAAGGTGAAGGTGGGCTAACTAGCAAGCGCTAGTTCCAGGAAGTTTTGGTTGGATTATTTTCATTGTTCGGGAGATTTTTTTGGCAATGTTGGGGCTGCGGTCTTGTTTTTAAGCATGCAGTAATCTGTTTTGATTTGCCAATCTTTCTGGGTGCCTTCCCTTTGATGGTGGCATAGATGATAAACTTTAAATGTAAAGTGTTCATAGGCCATTGCTCCCTGCACCTCTCTGAGAGTGCTAGCTTCTACCTTGTGGTCCCCAATAGGGCCAATAGAACTCCGCAACTGATGGCATTAAATAGTACAGTGTAGCACTTAATCAGTGCGATAGGGAGGGAGGGAACCTATGGGCCTTCCCCCCAGAATAGAGATTTTTGTTTTCATATTGGTGCTCTCTATCCCCCTATAAAAATTGGAAGGATGGATAATCTTGTAGATCTCAATCTCATTCTTGATTAGGAGAGTTAAACAAGCCAAGAGCTTCATGTGCCCAACAGGGTATAATATACAATTTGAAAAGAAAAGGAATAAATATTAACAATATATAAATGTTTGGCCAATTTTCTTTTGCAACGTTTTGTCACTTGAAAATATGATTTGCATATATTCATGCATTTCACTTAATATAATGATATTAACCCCTGGGATGCGCCTGCAACACGCCCAGGTGCAAGAAATAAGAAAAATATTTTGTCTTATAAAAGTGCTCATTTGTTCCCTGATCACGGGAAAAATAATAAAAAAAATAATAGGTGGCATATTTTGGGTGCAATAGGGTGGGAAAGTCTGGCAAAAAAAAAGATGCGTTGAGAGAGCAAGCGTCGAAGACGGGTCAGCTTCGCCAGAGCTGTCAGGTGGGAGTTGCCACAAAGATATTATTACCTAATTAATTCAATGTTTCTGATTGATTTTTTCTTAATTTTTTTTTTTGCAGTAATATTCAATAGTGTGTGGTGTGATATATTTATATAATAAAATGTGTGAACCATCGCTATATTCAAAATTATGGTGTGCATATTAATGATTCAATTATTATGTTCATAAAACAATAAACAAATAGTTTTGCTGTTATTACACTATATACACAGGTTATATATATAAGTATTTGCATGTTTTGTTCACCATAACGAACCACTAAGTATGGCGAGTCAAAAAGCAACGAGCAGTTGCCACCACGCCAGCCAGCCACTCGCCACCACTCCCTCCCTCCCTCAACGATACCTCACTCGCCAACATTCTCTTCCCACCATACTGTTTTTGCTTTTATTCACTATATACAGATGTTATATATAAGTATCTACATATTTTGTTCACCACAACTGTACAACTAAGCGGGTATGGTGAGTTCAGGCAATAAGAGATGCCGCTACACATACACACAGTCAGCTGGCAGCTGCCTCCCTCACTGGTTCAAGGCCAGACGCACTAACATTTCTCTCCCAACAATACCGTTTGTGGTGTTATTACACTATATACACACATTATATACAAGTATCTACTGTACATTTTTTATTCACTATAACTGTACAACTATGCTAGTATGGTGCCCAAAGAACATAGTGACCACGCTTTATAAAGCTAGACAAGTCCTGCAGACGATGCTTTGGCGACGTAATGACGTCATGCTAGTTTGCTAATTTTGTTTGGGGTGTTCTGTCCACTCATTCGGCTTTTGGTAGCAATATTTTCACTAGAATAGGGGGGTTTGTTTTGGGGTGCCTACCTTTCTGGGTGCCTGTCCTGGTTGATGGCAGACATTGAATGCTCCCAACCACTGAGGGGGGTGTCTATAGGCCATTGCTCCTCATGCCTCTCTTAAGGGAGTCAGGTTCTGGCTCGTGGTCCCCGATAGGCAGAAAGTTATACCCATTCAGCCTGGATAGCTCAGGGGAGCCTCCGGGACTTTCCCAGAAAATGGCGTTTCATTACAATTCAATTACATTACATTCATTACATTCAATTTTCCCAATCGACTTGAGAATGGTCCAGGACGGACAGAAAAGTCGCCGTCCATTCATTTTCTAGTGTGTGGATTGGTCAACATTACATTCAACGCTGTTTTTTTTTTACCCTTTTAGGCAATGATGTGTTTACAAGCTGAACAGCAATGCTGTTAGCTTTTGCTGCGTGCACCAACCCTGGTTGCTCAGTCAGTACTGATGCTCTCAAAGGGGCTGGTCCCAAACCTGCACACAGAAATAACACCACATGAGACCAGAAGGCATGGCAGGATGTCCAGAATACTTCTGTTGAAAAGCAGAGGTGCAATAGGTACTCTGAGAGTGAACTCTATCAACATCAGAGGCCAAGACTGTTCAACACGCTTCCACTACACATAAGGGACATAACTGGCCGACCCATCACAGTGTTGAAGAGAGAACTTGATAGGCACCTCCAAAGAATACCTGGTCAACCAGGCTGTGAGTCATATGTCAGGCTGCGAGCAGCTGCGTCCAAGAGCCTGGTTGACCAGTCCAGCAACGAGGAGGCCTGGTCGAGGACCGGGCCGCGGAAACCATCTCAAACCATTTCATGGTAACCTCACACCTGGGAATGTTGCCCACGATTTTTTTTTTTAATGGCATCTGTTTACAAGAGCCCTGAGGAAGCTGATGTGAACCCTATGTAGCCACGGGACTTTTAAATCTTGCACGGTACACCCCACACTTCATATTATGTGGTGTGCAATTCTGCGGCAGTTACTCACCACGTCATGTGATGTGTTGTGCAGTTTAAGGGTTAAGTGAAAGCCTTTATCTGCTGTATAACTGTTCAGTGGTCTAAGATTGCAATATGTCATAGCTTCAACCATGTGACTTATTGATACAGGTCTACAAGTATTTAGTTGTTACATTGCTTACAATGTAACAAGAGGGGCCTGACAGCTGAGTGGACAGCGCTTGGGTTTCAAACAAATGGGCAGAGTTTCTTTCACCCTGATGCATCTGTTCACCTTGCAGTAAATGTCTAACCTGGAAGTTAGACAGCTGTTATGGGCTGCTTTCTGGGGTGTGTGTAACAAAAAGGAGGCCTGGTCGAGGACCGGGCTGCAGGGATGCTAAGCCCCGAAATCATCTCGAGATAACCTCAAGGTAACCATATTTTGATAGCCTTTTATTTCAGTCAGTCTCACAATGTAATTTTTTCCTGACAGTCCGAGGCCCATGGTGGAGCAGTTCTAAGCATCCTTCATGACCGCACTGTCAGCCTCACAGGTTGTGGACAGCTTCAGGATGTTATGGTCTTTCTGACACAGTCTGCAGCTGTTCCTTATATGAATATGCTGGCTAAATGGCTGTACAGAGGCATTATAAATGACCCATATAATGAGGTAAGGCACCTATTGAATGTTTTCATGTATTTTAAGGTATAATTGTTTGATATTTTGGTTAAAGCTCTTGAACAAATTTTATGATTGTTTACCTAGTATACTGTCTGTTAGTTTAGACCCAATAGATTATGCTCAGATTCCTTATTCTCCATAAAGAGCAGTTCCACCCCTAGAGCTCTGTCCCTTGCATGTGGTGTTTAAAGGTTTGTGAAAATACAGTGGAGTATCTTTAAATTGAACTGATTGGGGCCAAGCATGGTTTGAGTTAAAGCGTATTCTTACTTAGGGGTTCCTGTAACTTAGCTCAGTACTAGAATCATAGCCTAACATAGAATAAAATTAAGATTATTTTCTGGGAAAGACATCCTCAGTAGCCATACCTTAGATAACTGCACGAGGCCTCTGAGATCCTCTCCTGCCTACTGGAAGCAAGGGTTAGAATCTGACTTTTCTTGTTGAGGTGAGGGGACAATCTTTTTGGTAGGTCAGGCACCTACCAAAAACTAAGAAGAATACTATTAGAAAGGATAAGCATAGCAAAACAAGGACAAAAGAGAGACGCTGAAAGAAGAGCCAGGGCCCACTCTGAACCCAAAGCATGAGCCAGCACAGCCTGACGACACGTGAGGCAGTAGGTGAAAAACATGAAAACCACTTCCCGGAAGAGACCACTTTATGCTTCCCAGAGCATACAACTTAAGCAAACAGATGAAGCTGAAGCTGCTGCGACAAAAACTCCTACACGAGGCACCTCACCGAGCGACCCCACATCCTTCGCAAGCCAATCAGAAGACAACTCGTGGGGACAGGAACCGCATAACAAGCCAAGTTTGAATGAGTCCAAAAATCATCGGCGACCAAAGTTGTTGAAAAAAAAGAGTAGCTTGAGCATGCAGCTGCACCAGACCCACATCACGGGGAATGAGCAGGATCGAAGAGGCAAGAATTGAGTTGCTCAAGAGAGCCCCCCAGAAACTCCTGCAACACAGTAGACACCTCCCGCCAATCAACATGTTCTTTCGCGGAAAGCCAGAAGGAGCTCCAACATAGAAAGAGAACGCTTTCTACACTACACTACAAAAAAGAACACAAAAAATAATGGAAATGCTTAACCCTTAAACTGCAAGGGATCCAAATGGCTTCAACACCCACAGGCGCAAAAAAAAAAAAAAAATCAACAAAATTTATTTCTTTTAATCTCTTTATTTGTGTTCCCCCAATGGAAAAATAATAATAAAAAAATTAATTGTACTTATCAATGATGTAAATGAGCCGAGAAGTTGGCTGATGACATCACGATTCATCTTCGCTGGAGTGCTCTGCGCCCGAACTGAGTCAGGTGTGACAGAGGAGGAGCCAGAGTTGCCACAAATTTATTTTCACTGTATTATTTACAGTATCTATGGCATATTTTACACCCATTTTTTTCACTGGTGGGGTTCAATATGTTCTCACTTGACGATTTGTTAGCATAGAACTGTTGTCAATGTATATTATATCCACATATTAGTGTCACAAGTATTTGCACAAAAAATGTCTTATTTTTCAATAAAATATACTTTCTTATGATTTATTTTCAATATTTACACCCACTTATTCTGTGTTTACATGTTTTTGCACCAGTCTTGAACATTTAGAACTCGTCAAGACTGTGATACTCGTCAATACATTTGACATAGCACAGAGGGACTTGACACGCTGTGCACCAAGTCATCACCATTTTTCGTTTCTGTTGCCTCTTGGTTGTTGTCTTGCATACAATGCACTCATGCTGGCCAACAGCATGTTTTGTAGTTGGTGGTAAATACCTTAGATTGTGTGTGACAAAGGCATCCTTGAAAGTGAGCCTGGATGCTGGAGCATGGTGCAATACCGGGTGCAGAATAGGCCTCTGTATGCCAGGAATTTCTTTGCCAAACTTCTCTAGTAATTGTGTCACTACAGTAAAACTGAACACAGGGAAATTTCGTTTACCACCTGTTTTGACAAGATACATATTGTAACTGTTCAGCATTGTTACATCAACAAGGTGGAAAAACATTTTCTTGGTCCACTTCACTGTTTTCCGTACACACTCTACTGCCGCCACCATCATATCACATTTATCCACTAAACGCATGTTGATGATATAGTCCAAGACACAATCTGGCTTATAGATTATTTGTTTTGTTGTTCTGTTAACCTTGCCACTGTCCAACATTGTACCATTGTGAATAGTGGTCAACATGTTCACTTCACGCCTCTCTTTCCACCGCACTGAAAGCATTGCGCCTGTTTTTCTTAGCTTACAATCACCAACCTGCATAGCAGTGTGAAACACTGACATTTCCCTTCATTTTCATTTTGCCTTCACTGTGCCATACACTCCAGTTCTTTTATCAAGCAAGAACCTAGTTAGTAAGGGACTGGTATAATAGTTATCTGTGTACAATATGTGGCCCTTGTTCAGATATGGTGTAAGCAGTGTCTTCACCACACTACCTGAGAAGCCATGTTGGTCATTAGCAGAAATGTCTACATTTGGACCCATATACATGATCATGTGTAACACAATTCCTGTTTCACAGTCACACAGTACTAAGAATTTCAATCCAAATCGGTGGCGTTTGGAGGGAATGGCAAGATGTCCTTTGAAAAGCACAAGGGATTCGTCAATCACCAGCTTCTGAGCTGGTACGTAGAAATCCCTGCACTTTCCAATAAGTTCATTCAGGACGTGCCTTACCTTCCAAAGTCTGTCATCATCATTGTGGTCTTCATCATTTGCAAAATGAAGACACCTGAGGATTATTGCAAATCGGTCTCAAGACATATACTTGCCATACATTGGTGTTGGAACAGTATGGTCTTTGCTCCAATAATGGTCAAGTACGTGTTTGACACAATGTTTCATCAACATACACAGTGCCAAAAACATAAGTTTCACCCACAGTCGTATCTTTCCATCGCTGTAAACGTGAAAGATCAGATAACTCCTCATCATCAATGAGATCAGTCACATATTTGTTCGTTTCCCGAACAATATATTCCATGAGCGGCATATTGAAATATGCGGTAAAATAGTCCATTTCACACATATCTGGACCTTTATCAGGGAAAAGGTCTGTAATCCCAACATGTGAATTATCAAAAACAGGAATTTATGGAACAAAATCTGTCCCATCACTACACACAAAAACACCTGGTGTCTGTCGAGGGACAATAGCGACACCACGGCGAGGAAACCGTGGACCAGGAGCTTAAGCAGGTCTAGTTTCGTTTAGGGGAGTTCTATCCACTTGTTCGGCTTTTGGTAGCAATATTTTCACCAGAATAGGGGTTTGTTTTGGGATACTTACCTTTCTGGGTGCCTGACCCGATCGATGGCAGACATAGAATGCTTCCAACCACACTGGGGTTTCTATAGGCCATTGCTTCCCTTGCCTCTTCTGAGGGGGCCAGGTTCTGGCTCGTGGTTCCTGGTAGGCCCATAGAACTCCATACACATGACTGATGCCAAAGTCTGACATTAGCATATCAACCTAGTAAGCTCCGGGGAGCCTCCGGGTCTCGTCCAGAAAATGGCGTTTCATTATATTCAACGCTGGTGTTTACTGCATATTTTGATGAGCTGCTCATGGAACATGTTGTTCACCAAACAAACATTCACATCTCATTGAAAAGGAGTTAACAAAATTTTCACGATTACAACGTTGGAAAAACACTACTGTAGGTGAAATGTATGTATTTTTTGTACTATGTATGTTGATGAAACATTATGTAAAGCACGTCATCACAGATTATTGGAGCAAAGACCATACTGTTCCAACACCTTTGTTCGGGAAATATGTCTCGAGACAGGTTTCAGATACTTCTCAGGTGTCTTCATTTTGCAAATAATGAAGACCAGACACATGGTGATTGACTTTGGAGAGTAAGGCACATTCTTTTGAATGAACTGATTGGAAAGGTTAGAGATTTCCACGTACCAGCACAGAAGCTGGTGATTGATGAATCCATGTGCTTTTCAAAGGATGTGTTGGCTTAAAGCAGTATATTCCCTCCAAATGCAACAGATTTGGATTGAAATTCTATGTTCTCTGTGACTGTGAAACAGGACTTGTTACACATTAATTCTGTATACTGGTAGCAATGTAGACATTCCTGGTAATGACCAACATGGTTTCTCAGGTAGTGTGGTGAAGACACTGATGGCACCATGGCTGAATTTGGGTCACATTTTATACACAGATAACTATTATACAAGTTCCTTGCTAACTAGGTTCTTGCTTGAAAATAGATCTAGCGTGTGTTACACAGTAAAGGCAAGAAGAAGGGAAATGCCAGTGTTTGACAATAATATTGAAGTTGGTGACTGCCAGCTAAGAAAGTGATCAAATATTCTCAGTGCAGTGGAATGACAAGAGAGAAGTGAACATTGTTGACAACGTTCACATTGGTACAATGGTGCACAGTGGCAAGGTGAACCTAACAATGAAACAACCAATATATAAACCAGATTGTGTTCTGGACTATAATACCAACATGCGTTTGGTTGATAAATGTAACATGATGGTGGGCGCTGTCGAGTGTGTACGGAAAAGATTGAAGTAGACGAAAAAAAGTTTTTCCACCTTGTTGATGTAACAATGCTGAACAGTTTCAATATGTATCTGGTGAAAACAAGTCATGAACCAACATTCCGTTCGTTTAGTTTTACAGTTGTGACACAGTTACTAACAAAGTTTGGCAAAGACATTCCTGACATACAAAGTCCCATTCAGAACCCAGCATTGCAGCATGCTCCTACACCCAGACTCGCTTACACGGAGGCCTTTCAACTATATAGACTAAAAAATTTGTCACCAGCTGGAAAGCGTGTAATAGGCCAAAGTGATTGCATAGTTTGTAAAACCACACAAACGAGACCACAGAAATGTAAACAGGTGCAAACATGGTATGAAGCATGTGCTAACCCTTTGTGTGCTGTCAACTGCTTCAATGACTACCACTGTCTCCAGAATTTCTAAATGTCCAATAATGGTGCAAAAACCTGTACATATTGAGTGCGTGCGTGTATATATTGATGACAAATCTGAATATATATTGTATATGGTGTAGTAAAAAACATTTGGGTGTGCATAATTGTGACACTAATTTGTAAGTGTATATTGAATGGATGCAAGTTGTATTATAATTCAACATCAAGTAACATTATATGCAACACAATTAGTGAATTTTTTTTGGGTAAAATACGCCCAGACACTGTAAATAATGCTGCGAAAATAAATTTGTGGCAACTCTGGCTGCTTGAAGACCGCGTGCGATGCCTCCTGGACGCACATTGCATTAGTGTGCATGTTGGGTGTGACAACATCACTCATCTTGTCGGCTCATTTAAGTCATTGGTAAGTACAGTGACTCCTCGACTTACCATTGCCCCGACTTATGATATTTTCGAGTTACAATGTAAATTTGGTCGGAAAAGTGACTCAACTTACGTCAAACCTTGGTAATGCATACCAAGGGTGAATGTAATCACACTTGGTAATGTATACCAAGGGTGTCTAGTCATTACCTAGGCTTCCTTGGTATGCACCAAGGGCCTCATGAGCCTCTACCAGAGTTACCTGGGAAGAAGGAAACCTCTGGAAACGAATCCAAGGAGCCCAAAGGCATCCGGAAACAAACCCTGGGGGATGTCGTGCTTAACTCAAACTCATATAGGGAAGAGGGGGATAAGAAAATCCCACACCATGCAACAAAAGACCCTCTGCTGAAGGCACAAGGGCCCACGAAGGGTCAAAAGGAACCCAAAAGCTCCAATTGAACTCTCTCCCACCCCCTTTCCAGCCCAGGTAACCGTAATCAGTGCCCTCATGGCAAATTACTCTTCTACGCCCACCGCCCAGGAAAGAAAGTTGGAGCCCAAGAGAAAAACTTCAAAAGAGGGAGTCGGTTGGGAAGACTCGGAAGCTTCGACAAGAAAGAAGCAGCTCAACTGCCTCTGCACCCGAATTGGATGAGGCAACTCCAGAATTTGCCCAAGCCTCATTTTAAGTTAAACCCTGCCCCAATTCTAAACCCTCAGATGCTTTGGAGCTGGACGCAGAGGGGGAAGGAGAAACGTGAACCAAACCAAACGGTTAGGGAAGAGGTGGGTGCAGAAGGAATCAAGGTCGATTTGATCAACCCCTCCAATTCCAAGTCCCTTAAACAGAAACGGGGCAGATCCGGGGTAACCAACCAGGCACACAACCTAGAGCATTCCCTAGGTTATAACTGATGACACAAGGTAGTATGGCACATATTCAGTGATGATAACTTCAGTGTGCTGATGGGGCTCCTCACAAAAAGAGAGTATTAGAGAAATAATCACATACTGAAGGGGACACTATAAAATGAGAAGAGAAGAGAAAAGAAGGATTGCGATCCAAAGACCAAGCGGGTTCATTTGATGGATGGCTGGAGGTGAAATAATGCACGAGGCAGATTGCAAAATGGCGCCCAGGTAATATCGACACCAAACGTGCGGTGCAATGGTCCTGACAATGCTGCACAATATGAGGCGACAGTATTCAGCATGAGATGCTGATCGAGAAAAAGCCAAGAAAGAAACGAGATAACTACATGCACTAATGGGTTTGAACTATTTTTTAATGTTTCGATTGCCATTTTGAATTCTTTGGGACTTGCTTGACTGTTGAGGCATCATTTTTTGTGCATCATGCAGTTGTCTGTATTGCTTTGCTGACTTTCTGGATGCTTTCCTAGAGGGGTCATGGAATGTCACTTGCTCTCTGCACTTCTGTTAGGGGGAAGGGTCAGGTTCTAGCTCTGGTCCCTGGTAGGCCAAGCAGAACTCCCGTGACTGATGTGATATAGTATTTAGGCGCAATCTCAGCAAGATAGCTTCAGGGAGCCACCAGGACTCTTCCAGAAAGGAGTTTCATTATATTGAATGCTGATGTTTTTATATTAATTGGCCAATAATTATAATTTTAATTTTAAATGTTTCAGTTCATGGTGATAGACAGAGAGAGTGGTGGGGAAGAGAATGAAGAGGAAGATCTGGCTGATGATTACTGGGAAAAGCGTTATACAACAATTCCCCAAAACATTCCTACATTTCTACAGGTTCATGCAAATGTCATTCTTCGTACTGGAAAATACTTAAATGTTATCAGACAATCTGGTGAGTAATTGAACTTGTATATTATTGGGTTCTTTGTGAGTTTGTATATGTACTGTACAGGGGTACCTCAGCTTACGAATTTAATCCGTTCCCAGAGACGGCTCGTAACCAAAAAATTCGTAAATTGAAGCGAATTTCCCCATAAGAAATACAGTGGTACCTCGGTTTACGAGTTTAATCCATTCTTGGAGACAGCTCGTATTCCGAAAACTCGTAATCCGAAGCTAATTTCCCCTTAAGAAATAATAGGAAATGAATTAATCCGTTCCTGACTACCCAAAAAGCTCACTTCAAACTAAATTTTATACCTAATTCATCTAAATAAACCTACAAAACTATGTTCAAGTTATTACTTACCTTGCTGTTGGCATGTGGAAGATAGTGAGGAGGAGGGAGGGGAAGAGGTGTTACTGTTTGGAAGGGGAGTCCCCTTCCATTATAACATCAGGCAGTGAGGACTTCACTGGTGTGCACACTTTGGCACGTTTTGGCTGCATACCACTAAGACTTGCTTGTCTTACTAAGAATCTGTCTAAAGCCACTTGTTTTTCCTTACATTTTAACACTTGTCTGTAGTAAGACATCACATTGTCATTTAAAAGGTAAGTGCAACAGCCTGCTACAGCTTTATCTGGATGAGTTTTTTCAACAAAACTTTGCAATTCTTCCCATGCTTCACACATTTTCTTAACACTTTAGCATTATCACGGCGCTCGAGAGCGTTACCACTTTTTGTGTTGAGGTCGCACAGCGGACTCGCTCATGAGTCACGAGAAAAAATATTTCTATAAACTCTATTTGTTATGCGATCAACTTTGGGATAGTTTGAAAATGCCCACCATGAAATTTCCGTTTTCTCTAATAGCCGCATAACCTATTTGGGAGAACGGCATAGCATTGCACCATCGAGGTAAGACCATTGTATTGTTGACACGAGAAGTGTAATAGACGTAGTTTTTTATTTGGTGCTGGTCTAACACATCCATGTGTGACATTTTATACTTATGTTCTTCTAGAACATTCTGTTGCAAACACATTGGTACAAAAATGAAATACGTACATCTAAAATTAATGTCAGGACAGTGAAAAAGAGTATGCACTTTTCAGTGTTGCCACTCGATCGCCCGAAACGCCGCACTATTTTCTTAGGTTAAACCTTACTACTGGCTTTCTTGGGACCCATGGCGAGATATATAATAACAACTTTTATGGTCAAATGACCAAAAATCCAACAAAACACTGAAAATCCGGGTGAAGAATTGACATGGGATAGTCACTGGGTGCAAGGCACTGGTAAACTGAGGGGTGAGGGGCGACGATCGCCGTACCACCACGTGCTAGGTCGGCCTGTACACGTGTCAACAAACTCGCCTTCCGAGGCACATTTTCCGAGCAAATACTGCTCGTATTCCGAAAAACTCGTATTCTGGGACACTCGTATTCTGAGGTACCACTATAATGGAAAATGAATTAATCCATTCCAGACTCCCCAAAAAATTAACTTCAAAGTAAATTTTATACATAATTCACCCAAATCTTCAGTACAAAATTATGTACAAGTTATTACTTACCGTTACTGATGTCTCCTGTTGGCGTATGGAAGACGGTGAGGAGGGAAGGGGGCAGAGGAGGAGAGGTGTTACCTTTTGGAAAGGGATTCCCCTTCCATTATAACATCAGGCAGTGATGACTTCTTTGGGGTATACTCTCTGGCACATTTTGCCTGCATACCATTAGGACCTGCTTGTGGCTCATTGCTTGATTTTCTCACTAGAAATCGTTCCACTGAAGATTGTTTTTCCCTTCTTTGTAACACTGTAGTGAGACATCACATTGTCATTAATAAGATCAATGCAATGGCCTGCTAAAGCTTTATCTGGGCAATTCTTTTCAGCAAAACTTTGCAGTTCTTCCCATACTGCACATATTTTCTTAATGAGGAAGGGACATCCTCTACTGCCTCCTCCTCCTCCTCTCCTGAAGATTTGTTGTACTGCCTAGCTAATTCAACAACCCCTGTACCATTTTCATGTTTACGAATGATCTCTTATTTTTCTTCTGTCATCATTCACATGTGTGTTTTCATGGCTTGAACCTTATCACTGGCTTTCTTGGGACCCATGGCGAGTTATATAATAACAGATTTTATGTTCAAATAGTAAAAAATCCGAAGAAAACTGTAAATCCTTACAAAGAATTCAGGCGTGATAGTCACTAGGTGGGAGGCACTGGTAAACTGAGGCGCGATCGCTATGCCACTGTAACAGTAGGACTGTTAATATATAAAGACCATAGAGCTAACAATGAACATTGGGGAAAATTTCACTAAACACCATAAAATTCTAAACAAAATTTATTAAAATCAAAGATTATCAAAGAAAAGAAAACTTCATTCAGTACACCCTATCTGAACACTTCCTAACTGAATATTTTCCTAACTGAGGCAATTGGTAATTGACTACAACAAATAATGTGGATTAAATAACTGCAATACCTCAGACACAGATACCTTAAAATACCACAGCCAGGCCTAGATGTTCTGCCACGGCTCTAGGGAAGGAGCACCTCGTGTGAGGTTGACCCTAGCTCAGTTGCCAAATTAATCTTTGAAGAAGATTACTAACTAAAATTCTGTATTCGTCACTGAAGGTGACTTATTATTTCAAAACAATTGGGAATTATCTAGCTACTTGAACTAGGCTACTTACAATATTCAATAGCACTTGCATTTCACTAATTTACATGAATTAACAAGCAAGCTGGGCGATACATATTTTCTACTAGATCGTGTGGGGACCGATTTGATTGATCTCCATTGTAGCCATTCAGGCAATCGGTACGTGTTGGTATTAGTGGACCATCTGTCCAGATACACCACCTTGATTGCCATCCCTCAAAAGGATTCTTGTACTGTTGCCCGAGCATTTTTGAATAGGTTCGTAACTGTATTTGGGCCTCCTAAAGTATTAGTTTCAGACCGAGGTCAGGAATTTAATGGGGATATATTTAGGGAAATTTGTAAAATATTGGAGACAACCTCAGCCTTTACAACAGCTTACCACCCTCAGGCAAATGGGATGACAGAGCGTACCAATCGTTCAGTTAAGGATGTACTTGCAAGCCTTGCGGAACGTGATGCAAACTCAAGGGACGAACACCTGCCCTATGTTCAGCTGACTCTGAATACTGCTATCCACCAGTCTATTAATACCCAACCCCTTCTTTTGTTCACTGGTCAATCATACAATTTCCCATCAGGTCTGCTTGACAGACATAATGTTGCATATGGAGAGGATTATCCTTCAGAAGTTCTCAATAAAATGAGGAATGCTTGGAGCATTGCAGCAGAGGCTTCAAGAAAAGCACGGGATAGATATGCTCACTATTATGATAGGAATGTATGTCCCTGGAATTGAAGGAGGGTAGCCTTGTCTTGAGAATAAATGAAGCATCACCCGCCAATCAGAGTAGGAAACTAACTCTTAGATGGCGGGGGCCGTACAAAGTAATTAAGAAAGCAGGCTCTGTCAATTTTGTCATAATGGGAGTATTTGAGGATCAGGTGGAAAGAACTGTCCACATTAATAAGTTGAAGATTTATCATGCTAGGGAGGAACTAGAATTGCCTTCAGTAAGTCTAATTCCTGACCCACCGGAGCTGATTAACGACTCAAGTTACGAGGCAGATGGAGAGAATGACCCTCTGTCAACTTTCATCAGTAGTCAAGAGCACTCTCGTCACCCCATGGTAACAAGATCTCGCACTGTACAGTAAAGGTTAAAATAACTCCCTTAGTTAGTATAATTTAGAATTCATTAGATTTTCCTGTAGAAGCAATGATGTGGATTTCTTAACTGTGCTTAACTCGGATAGCAGACTTTACCTTGCTCTGGGGTTTCCAACTTCCAACAAACCCAGAATTATATCCATGCTTCCGCCAAGTTGTTGTCTGTCTTTTCCCAGGTCTGAATTGTACACCTGCCCAGTTGTTCGAGCCACACATGAACCCTATCTGAGAAGATCAAGGGGGAGGCACGTTACACAAAGCCCTCCCCCCACCAGACCCCGTAACTAGCCAGTTGGTTACTTGGGGTCGGTGACAATACACCAATCACCCAGCCGTCATCTCACGTCACTAACGAGGTTGTCTTGACACAGCATGCGGTCTGCAAGGATGCAGTCACCAGATATCAACTTTTTACACCATCGTGGGTAGTTGTCTCAACATCATCACCACCCACCAACTTTGTCATCAAGACTGCAAGCAGACCGAAAGTAAATGCAGGAAAATCGAAGGGGGGGCCAGCATGTAGCAGTACTATTTATTCTCGTTGGTGGATCCATGGTTACTACATAACCATGGATCTATGTACGCCATGTATGTAGTTACTACATAATCCATGTAGTAACCATGGATTATGAACGCAAGTGGAATGAGGCAGACACTAGATGAATGAAACGGGCTCCCTACAGAGTACAGTCGACTCGCCATAGAAGGGGCCCAAATAGCCTCCCTCGGCCCAAGGTTAACTGAACAAGGGTATACACGAATGCTGTTTATGGTCTAGTAGCCTGGTGTCATCAAGAAACGCCTGAGATGAGGTGAATCATGGTGACTGAAGATTGGGTGCCACTTGTTTTGCCAACACGCCACCCACCTCAACGCCCTTCTGCAGCTACTTCCGTCAAGAGACATCACTGTGCGTTTAAGTCCCGCATTCCCACGATTCAGCTGCTGGTTCTGTCTCTGCCATCAAGACTGTTTTGTCGGCCACAAGATGGGTAATGAGTCGTGTCCTTTTAATGAGGTTCACCCGACCGGCGGCAGCCAGTCACGGGCTGAACAAGGGTTGTTCTTCCATATCGTTCACTCCGTACTGGAGTGAATGATATGGAAGAAAAGGCAGAATAGAACCAGTGAAGAGCAGAGGTGCCATAGGAACAATCAGAGAACACTGTATAAACATCAGAGGTTGCGTGGTGCTCGAATCTGGTCATTTTTCTGTAGCTCAGTCTCTTCCGGAGGGTTGGCCAACAGTTCCTTGCTAGGGTGACCTTCTCCTCCACTCTTTGCATCTGGTCCTTCTGATGTAGGAGTATTGTGTCATTGAGGCAATTACAAGGCACCCCACTTGCGGAGTTCATCGAGGCATCAGTTCGTGGTTCTTGGTGGTTATTCTGCCATTACCTTGCGTTGTCATTCTTTTTGGTTGGCATTTCCTGCTGATAATGTTGCCTTGGGTCGTGCTGCGCTGGCAGGGTCGCTACAGCTTGAGTACGGGGTCAACACTGTCTTCATTTATTTAATGTGGAGAGCCCCTCTGGCCCCTTGGAGCTATACCGGGCTGATGTGTGTATTAGACAATGGCAGCAGTGAATCGATGGAGTTCTTAGCCTACCGGGAGCCATGAGCCAGAACCTGGCCCTCTCAGAGAGGCACGAGGAGCAATGGCCTATAGACACCATGTAGTTGGAAGCAGTCTATGTCTGCAATCTACCAGGTCAGGTAGATGACATCTACCATCTACCCAGAAAGGAAGGAACAAACTACAGCTGGTTAAAAAATGCAAACCGAAAGCCGAAGGAGTAAGCAGAACTTCCCAGTCAGAAAACAAGGAAACAAGCATCATGTCACCACAGCTGCCACGGTGCTGTGTTCGCAGCTCCTCCCTCCCCGGGAGGGGTAAGGGGGAGTTCCAGACCTCCTGTGCTGGCTATCCAACCCCAGTTCTGAGTCTTTTGTGTTGGGTGGTGGTCGATCGACTCTGGCTCCAATCCTTGAGCAGTGCTGTGCTTTGTGATGGTGTGCTGCGGTGTGGTGGTGTTCGAGCCAGTTGTAATTCCAGAAGTACTGGGGCTGCATGTGCCTAGGGTCACCTTCTCTAGGTGCCCTGTAAGTACTGCCTTTGTAGTTTGGGGTTACCTTCCACAAACTGTACGGGGACTACCTCTGCTGGGTACTGTTGTTGCTCGGTGATTACCCGCCCTTGGGGTCAACTGGGGTTTTTTACTATCCGTTTGGCCTTGGGTAGGAGGTAGTATCGTCGCTGGCTGGGGCGCAAGGTGCTGTGCAGCTGTCTTAATACGCTTAGCAACCGGTTCTGTTCTTCCTGGAGATGTGCTTTGGCGGGGTGTTTTTCTTTTCTTTTCTTTCATTTTACCTGATGGGGGTCTGCCTGGCGAAGCTGTAGGACCACTTTTATTATTTTGGTGGCCCTCCGCTAGGTCCCCATGATTGCACATGTCGCAGGGGTTCAGCTTTTGTTTGTTTGTTTGGTAGTTCTGGGATAACTGGTTAGCAGTACCTTGCCTGGGCTTACCTTAGCAGTCAGCCTAAGGTCCCTGGATACACCCATTGGGGCTCATTGGTCCGATGGATGCATCCTCCGAGTCCCATCTCACTTTGTGCAAATTTGAAGGTTGCTCTGTCCATCTTGTCTCAGGTTGACACTCACCATTTTTTGCCTCCACCGTGCTGCCTGTTGGGTCGATGACTCCTTTGATCCGGAGTCCTGTGAGTGGTGTTCCTTGCTTGTACTCCAATTCACCCAGTTCACTGCTATTAATATTCGTGTGCAGGCGGCTTTGGTGTTGCATGCAAGGTTCAGGTGGCTGCAACATGCTAGGTTGGTTGCCTTTCCCGCTGCCCCGCTTTGGTTTTAGGGACCTGAACTTGGGGGCGTTAGTCACTTTGATTTTGGTTTCGTCCATGCTCTCTCGTCCTTCCCTTGCTGTTGTTTGTCCTAAAAGCTGCTGGCTCTCAAACATCTGAGGGTTTCGTAGTCGAGGCAGGGCTTAGATGATGGTGAGACTCGGGCGATCTCGGGGGCTGCCCCATCCGGTTTGGTGACGAAGGCATTCAAGCTTACTCCTCCAGCCGGGGCATCAGGATCTGATCAGGGACCCCCCCTTTTTCCAGCTTTTCCGGTGGAGCCTATCTTTTCTTTAGGGGCAGATGGTTTGAAGGATGGCTCTGCCCCATGTCCTGGTGTGGAGGATTTCGGGGCTGGGAGGAGTTGACTTGGGGGGGCTTGGGCCCCATTTGACCCCGCTTGGGTGTTGGTACCCTCGATGCACGGCTTGTTGCAGGGAAAGGGGTTTTCTTGACCCCCCCCCCTCTCTGTACGAATTTGATATGGGTTCTGCTCCTCCCTAGGTTGAGTTCCGGGTTCCCTTGGGTTCTTCGGTCCCTTCCTTCCAGAGTGTCAGTTTTCTGCATCCCACCTAAGGAGGTTCAGGAAGCTATTGCGTCATACCTCCTCCGTGATCCAGATTGTGCCTTGATAATGGACCCTTCCTTGTTTGAGTTTGGTTCTACTTTTCCATATTGGGTGCGTTACGAGGTTCTGGAGTCATCCTGGTTAGCAGACAGCCCTTTCTTTTCTTTTGGGGCGTGGCATTCGTTCTGTCAGACCCGCATGCTTGAATGGCGGGAAACTTCTACAGTAGTTCAGGTTTACCTGGGGGACGAATTGGAGCACTTCAATGCATGCTTATTAGGCCCCCGTTCTTCCTAGGGATTTTGGCCAGGTGCAGCTTCACATGCAGGTTTTCGTTCTTTCGGCATCCCTGGTAACTGAGGATTTGCGTGCCTGTGGGCACTTGGCTTCAGTTTTGCGTTTCTTTTCCCTGCGTGAGCTGTCTTCGGACTGGCTTAAGAAGGATGTGAAGGCTCTGGTTGCCGAGCCAGTGTTTAGTGCTCTTGCTTTGGCAACTTGGGCGTCGGCTGTCTCTTTGAAGTTGTTTGCGCCAATTCTGAAGGATGCGGCGTCTGTTCTTTGCTTCTCGCCTCGCGTGCTGGTAAGCTGTGCTTGCTCACTCCTTGGAATCCATGTGAACCCAGGCTCATTGGTTTTTGTCGCTCTTTTGTCTGTTGCTGTTGGCAGATTCTGCAGTTGTGCAGTATCTGCAGGTGACTTTGTCTAGCCGTTACAATATGTCTTACTTGTTGGTTCTCTGGGGCAGCCGTGGGGATCTTTCCCGGAAGGGTCGTGCCAGGGGTTCGGGGTTCCTTCGGTCGTGGGAGGCCAGTGGGGCCAGTTTCGGAACCGACATTACCTTCGGAGACGGCGGTATCTGGTCGGCACAACGATCGCTCTGTGCGTTCGTCGGCTTCTTGTAAGCCCTTTTGCAGGTCACCCCATTGACAGGGCAATGGGGGGGAGGCTCGTGCCTGGTCCCTCGATTTGTGGGCATTTTGGGTCATTTCCTTCAGTCTGCGGTGGGTGGCTCCTCCTCCTTCGGGCTTTGTTCAGGTGACATACATTACTGGTTCAATCTTCTCTCCACTATGATCTGGTCGTTTGAGGCATGTGTTTTCCCTTCTTCTGGTGGTCCAGTGGCCTTGTTGGTGACCTACCTGCAGTCTTTCTCGAGATGACAATTTGGAGTTTATGGTGTTCATTCACTTCTCTTCTTCTCCGTTGCTGTCCTTCATTTTCTAAGCGAGGGTTATTTTCACTTTTTTTGTCCAGGCTTTTCTTAATTGGCACCTCATGTCATGCAGTGCTGGTGGAGCCACTGTGTCTTGCATTTGAGGTCAACACTTCCTTGGCTCCGTTTTGCTTGCTGTCTTGGATGTTGTTTGACATCTGGCCTGGTCTGTACTGCCAGAGTTTGCTTGGTTTCAAACCTGCATTTTTTTCTTTTCTCCTTTCCGCTTGGTTTTTGGTATCCCCTTCGGTCCAGTTAGTTCCTTTACACATTGTTTTGTTGTATTTGTTTCCAATTGCCGGGTTGGTGAACCTTGTTCTCCTTTGACTTCGGATCTTTGGCCTTTTGGCCTTTTGGGCATTTTCTTCGTTTGCTGCTGGCTTCATCTCTTCTGGTGGTGATTAGGTCGGTTGGCCTCAAAGGGATTCTTGTGTCATTGAGGTTCATTGATTTAGCCAGGGGTGCTTCCTGTGTTGTCGGGTTGTAACTTTATGCCTCGCTCTTCTTGCCGCCAGTTCTGCCTCGGTGGGTGCCTTGTAGGTTGATCCAGCCTCCTGGGTCCCCATTACCACGGCTTTTCTTTCTTTTGTCAACCACAGTGTTTTTTCGTTTGCCAGACTGAGGTCTTTCTTTTTGCCCATGGGGTTCCGAAGTTTGCCATTTTCTCTGATATCCTCACAACCCTGTCCTAGGTTGTTGTTCAGGCATGAGGTTTCTAGCTGTCCTAGATTTGGGCAGCCCTATTTCCTGTTGGTGTGCCTGGGCGGCCATAGTAGCCTTAGGTGGTCTTGGGTCACTTTTTTTGGCCAGGCATCTCTTCTTTTATGTTATGTTGACAGCTCTCCCTCCTCTGGTGCTTGCCCATTGACTCTTCTCCATGGGTAATTAGCTCCAGGGAGTCACAAGGGGCTCTCTCCAGAAAACCAGCATTGGATGTAATGAAATGCCAATATCTGGGTAAGCCCTGGTAACTTCCAAGCATTCTCCCTCCCTCTAGGTCATCAGGGAGTTAACATCATCATTGAACTGAAGTAGCAGCAGCCAGCTGACCCCTCGTTGCTTCCCTTCTCCTCCCAAACTGGGATGGGGGGAGCAGGGGCAAATGAGCTGGTGCTAGTTTCATAAAATTTCAATCATATGTTTTCATTGTTGGAGTAGTTCCATAGCTGTTCCCGAGGCTTCTGTGTCATTAAAGCCAGTTGTAGTTTTTGTTTTGCTGATTTTCTGGTGCTTTGTTCCCTGTGCCTCTTTGAGGGGGAGAGGGACAGGTTCTCCCTTGTGGTTCCCAGGCTATAGAACTTCATGACTGATGGAACCTAGTAGTATGGCACACTTTCAGATATAGTAGCTTCAGGAAGCCACCGGGGCTCACCCAGAAATTGGCGTTTCATTACATTCAATGCCGATTTTTTATTTCTCTGTTTCAGATCATAGTGTAGTGTGTCCAGATCAAGAGGAACTTGTATATAGTGTGCGTGATCGGTCATATGCAGAAGTGATTGAACGAACATACAATTTTGCTTCCAAGCGACTACTGGAGCTGCTGATGAAAGAAAAGGACCTGATGGGCCGATTAAGGTTAGAGTTTTGTAGTTCATTTAGAGGAAACAAATTTTGTCACTGTCTTGATGAAGTAAAGAGTTTCAGTTCTAGAATCTGGTTACTAAATCCCACCATAAATAGAAAGTGAAACTAAAGTGATTCATCGCATCTGATATTACAGGAATATTTTTTCTGTGGGTAGCCCATTGTGGCTCCCTGAAGTTATACACTGAGATGGTTCCCATCTACCAGGTGGCATCAGCTGGTGAGTTGTTAGACCTATTGGGGATCAGGGCCAAAACATGGCCCCTTCACAGAGACGCAGGGGTGGTGACATCTTGCCACCTCACTGGGAAAGGCATCTAGAAATTCAGTGAGTCAAAACAAACCCCAGCTTGGTTCAAAAGAGACGAAAGCCTCTCAACCCACCTAATAAACTCCCCCCATGTAAACAAATGATCAAATCTCTCAAAACTAGCGTGAACTCGTTCACCCGACTTTCCCCGCTCATTTGCAGGGAGGGGCCTGACGGCTAAGTGGACAGCGCTTGGGATTCGTAGTCCTAATATTCCAGGTTCAATCCTTGGTGGAGGCAGAAACAAATGGGCAGTTTCTTTCACTCTGATGTGCCTGTTCACCTAGCAGTAAATAGGTTGCAGCCCGTAGCAGCTAGACAGCTGCTACAGCTGCTTCCTGGGGATGTGTAACTTAAAGGAGGCCTGCTCAAGGACCAGGCTGCAAGGAAGCTAAGCCCCAAAATCATCTCAAGATAACCTCAAGAAAGAGGCTCACCACCTTAAGAGGTGTGAGTAGTCAGTTCTTACGTTGATGCGTTCGAGGTAACACGACTGTATAGTGGTTCCTGGGTTGCCTCTGTCATGTAGTCCTCCACTGTACAGCTAAGTGTTTTGAGTTTTTGCATTTGGAGCTCTTCTTGTTCACTTTGGTGTAGTGCGAGTCTGGCTTTAAGAGTACACTACTTAGACCCTTTACAAGCTGTATGCTCCTATAGTTCCAGAGGCAGTGGCCACTTTCTTTGCTGCCTGACTTGTGTGTCGGCTGGCTGTGTAGGCCTAGTCTTTGGATTTGGTGTGAGCCTTCGCTCTCTTGTTTACCTCCCCCCCCCTTTCTCCTCTCTTTTCTTTCTTGAGGAGGTTGTATCTCAGTATCTTTTCTCTGTGGCTGCTGCTTGTCGGCCGATCTCAGACCACCATTGTTTTTGTGGGTCTCGTTCTCATCCTTATAGATGGTTAGGAAGGCTAGGGCATTGCTTGTTGTATTCTGGATTGCAAGTGCCTTCCCTGTCCAGTTCTTGTCCTGGTTCGCACCATGCTCGCTATCCATGGAAGGCTCTGGTTTCTTGTGGTTTGCACCGGCCCTTTTGCGATACGCCCCTTTAATGGTGCAAATTGTATACACTGTACAGGTATACAATTTTGGTATAACTGCCTGCACAGTGCACATCATATATAAATTTTAAAGTATCGCATAAGATTTAAAAGTCCCATGGCTACACAGAGTTCACATCAGCTTCGTCAGGGCTCTAGTAAACAGACGCCATTAAAAAAAAAATCCGGGCACCATTCCTGGGTGTGAAGTCCTCAGTACTGAGTAAGCAACCAAGGCTGGTGCATGCAGCATGAGCTAACAGCACTGCTGTTCAGCTTGACACCACAGCATCATCTAAGAGTGTCAAAATATATATGTAACTGGTATTATTTAGCAATGATAGTATGACAGAAGAGCCTGATTATGATGAAGACTGTGTACAGTGTTCAGATATCAGTGAACACAAAGCTGTTCAAGATGTTCACAGCACTAGCCACAGCACACTGCCATTGTTTGGTCCATCTAAAAATCTTGAAAAGACTTCTCATGTTTTTTTTACAAAATGAACTAGTGGGAAATTATTCATTTACAGGATTTAGTGACCAGGATTCTGACAAAGCAGCATTGTGGGGAGAATTTGTGATGTGCGTAGTATGGTGGGAGGAGGAGTTTTGCCTGAGTGAGGTGGGCTTTGTCAGCTGACTGTGTGCGTGGCGGCCGTTGTACTGGTCTCGCTATACCAGCTTAGTGGTTCGTTATGGTGAACACAAATGTAGATACAGTACCTTATATATAACGTGTGTGCATATAGTGCAATAACAGCAAAAACAGTATGGTGGGAGGAGGAATGTTGCCTAGTCAGGTGTTGGTGAAGGAAGGAGGGAGGTGGCATCTGTTAGCTGGTGTGTGGCAGTCAATCTTGTTGTTTGGACTCACCATACCAACTTAGTGGTTTGTTATGGCGAACAAAACATGCAGATACTTATACTGTATATAACATGCATGTATATAGTGTATTAACAGCAAAAATATTTGTTTATTTTTTATGAACATAATAATTGAATTACAAATATGCACACCATACTTATGAGTATAGCGATGGTTCACACATTTTATTATTTAAATATATCACACTACACAATAGTGGATAATATTACTGCAAAAAAAAGATAAAAAATCAATCGGAGACATTTAAATAATTAGGTAATAATATTTTTTGTGGCAACCTTCGCCTGACAGTTCGGGTGGAGCAGACCGCAGCGGGATGCATGCTCTGTCAACGCCCCAGTTTTGCCAGACTTCCGTCCCCAATTGCGGCCAAAATATGTCACCTACGATTTTGTTGTTATTTTTCTCATGATCAGGGAACACATTTTAACAATCTTAGTAGAAAGAAAAAATGTTATTTTTTTTTCTTGCGCCTAGTGGTGTTGCAGACGATCATTTCAAGCGCCTCTTAATCCTTAACACTTTTGCCCGGGCATGACGCAGCATTGCGTCATCCGTTTACAGGCGGTAATACCGGGGATGACGCAGCATTGCATCATCCACTTTAAATAATCGCCAAAAATCAGGTTTTTATCCGATTTTTTTGGGACTGGTTTTAAAATGTGCGCCGATGTCTTCCCATTTTCTTTGTTGAGCCTCGTGGCCCTCAGGTGACTTGGCACACGATGTCGGCCCACTCTTTTCGCTCCACTGTTGTGACCAATGTCGCCTCCCCTCACATCTCAAACATGTGAACATTTCGTCTATTTTCGGTGGCTATATTTCTTACTGCGGCTTTAGAAACTATCTACGCTTACTCCACGATGGATAGTGATCATGAACAAGGTCCTTCCAGGAAGAAAATTGTGAAAGAAAGGCTTGAAAAGGAAGGGAATTGGGAGTGTAGCTGGAAGGCGTCTGAGCGCTCACTCGCGGCTAATGCGTGGCCCGTTTTCAACTCGTCGGGGGTTGGAGCGTGACCAGGTTTTTTATTTTATATGCTAATGTTCCTCTAGAGAATTCTATTGCGAACCCATTGAGACCAAAATGAAAGACCTGGGACAAAAATAGAGGTGACCAGAGTGAAAATAGTGAAAACATTTTATCGCGTTTGCGCACTCCTGGGTAACTCATTCGCATTTTCTCTGTTTGCTGCGGGTAATTAGCCGGGCTTTTGGAGTTTATATGCATTTAGTGCTGTAGAGAATTCTATTGCGAACACAATGATACCAAATTTAATCTCGTAGGACGAGAATTAAGGTGACAAAGTTGAAGAGAGTATACACTTTTCAGAATTTACGCGCACTCCCGTGACACCCTGGGTCCCATATCGCACAGTTGGAGGGTGGCGCGCGGGGTACGCCAAAGTGTTAAGCTGCGCATGGCATATACAGTATATATATACGTCATGAGTAACATGTCTCACAGTGCCCATGGCGTATATATACGCCATAGGGTGCCAGGCACGATTCATATGACCCCCGGCTACACAGGGTTCACATTAGCTTCCTCAGGGCTCTTGTAAACAGACGCCATGTTTAAAAAAATATCGAGAGCAATATTCTCTGGTGTGAGGTGGGAACAACCAAAGCTGGTGCACGTAGCATGAGCTAACAGCATTGCTGTTCAGCTTGTGACCACAGCATCGCCTAAAAATGTCAAAATAAATACGTAACTGCTATTATTTAGCGATGACAGTATTACAGATAACCCCTGACTGTGATAAAAATGACCAGGATTTTGATAATAGCAGGATTGTTGTGGTAATTAGCGCTGTGGGAGGAGTAATGCTGAGGGACGGAGGGAGATAGCATCGTTTACTGACTGTGTGGTCACCTGTTATTGTCTGCATTCACCCTACCAGCTCAGTGGTTCTCTATGGTGAACACAAATGTAGATACTTATATATGTGTGTATTAGTGTAATAACAGCAAAAGGATTATGTTGGGAGAGCCATTTGGGTGACAGAGGTGGTGTCGTCTGCATGACTTTTCTAGCTGTGTAGAAGGTGGTCACTATGCTCTTTGGGCACCTTATAAGCTTAGGTGTACAGTTACGGTGCATACAACATATAGATACTTATATATAATTTGTGTATAGTGTAATAACACGGCAAACAGTACTGTTGGGGCAGAAAGTTTAGTGCATGTGATCTTGAATGAGTGAGGGAGGCAGCCGCCAGCTGACTGTGTGTAGCGACGACTCTTAGTGTCTGACCTAACTATATCAGCTTAGTTGAACAGTTGTAGTGAACAAAACATATAGATACTTATATGTAACGTCTGTAAATAGTGTAATACAGTAACACCACAAACGGTATTGTTGGGGAGAAAGTTTAGTGCATGTGACCTTGCATGAGTGAGCGAGGCAGCCGCCAGCTGACTGTGTGTAGCTATGTCTCTTAGTGCCTGAACTAACTATATCAGCTTAGTTGTACAGGTGTGTTGAACAAAACATGTAGATACTTATATATAACATCTGTATATAGTGAATAAAATAAAAAACAGGATGGTGGGAGGAGAAAGTGGACGAGTGAAGCGTTGAGGGAGTGGCAACGAGTGGCTGGCTGGTGTGTGGCGGTCACTCCTAGTTGCTTTTCGACTCATAATACCAACTTAGTAGTTCATTATGTTGAACAGAACCTGCAGATACTTATATATAACCTGTGTATAGAGTGTAATAACAGCAAAACTATTTGTTTATTGTTTTATGAACATAATAATTGAATCACTGATAAGCACACCATACTTTTGAGTATAGCGATGATTCACCCCTTATATTATATAAATCTATCACACTACAAACTATTGAATAATATTACTGCAAAAGCTAAGAAAAAATCAATCGGAGACATTGAAATAATTTGGTAATAATATCTTTGTGGCAACTTGCACCTTGTCAGCTTGGGTGACGGTGACCACCATTGACGACGGCTCTATCAACGCCCACATTTTGCCAGACTTCCTGGGCCTATTGCGGTCAAAATATGTCACCTACGATTTTTTTTTTATTTTTCCCATGCTCAGGGAACACAAATTAACATTTTTAGAAGACGAAATAATTTTTTTGATTTTTTTTTTGTCTTACGCACAGGGGTGTAAATCTCCTCAGGACCCCTTAGCAACAGAAGGGTTAAGGGTTAAATGAGAAGTGCTCATAGGTCATTGCTCCCTGTGCCTCTCAGAGGGGGCCAGGTTCTGGCTCATGGTCTCCGGTTGGCATAAGGACTCTGTGACCAATGACCTTAAACAAATATAGCACTATATCTGTTCGGATAGCTTCAGGAAGCCTCCGAGGCTCACCTAGAAACTGGTGTTTCATTATGTTCAATGCTAATGGTTTGACACCAGTAGTGGTTTGTTTTGACTCCCTGACTTTCTGGATGCCTTTCCTGTTGAGGTGGTGAAATATCACCACTCTTCACCTCTGTGAGGTGGACCTAAGAACGCCACGACAGCCGCGACTTCATAGATGGGAACCATTTCAGTGTATAGCACCAGGGAAAAAAAATTTACATTTCATCACATTGAATCATGTTTTTTTTTTTCAGATCTGTGAAACATTACTTCCTATTAGACCAAGGTGATTTTGTTGTCCAGTTAATGAGCTTATGTGAGGATGAGTTGAGTAAGAATATTGATGATGTTGTGCCCACAAGACTTGAATCACTGTTGGAGTTAGCACTACGAACATCAGCAGCCAATTCCGATCTATATAAAGATGACATTGAATGTGACCTACAACCTATAACCCTGATGAATCAAATGTTAAGGATTCTGAGGTTTGTTTACTTCCTAGTTTTGCTACAGTCTTCCCGGCTTGGTGCCCTGTTTTAATAATTACTTCCTGTTTTTTCTTTTATGCTGCAGTATAATTATATTTTCACTTATTCTTGATTTCTAAAAGTTACAGTATTAGCTGTAATTTTCCTTGGTTTTCAGATGGATTTTTGAATATAGGCTACTTGGTTGTTACTTTACACAATTCCTACTACACTAAGGCAAGATAAAGTCTAAAAATGGGGATTTTCTGTTTGGATCCTCGATGGCTCCCTGGAGCTATCGGGCTAATGTGTGATATATTATACCGGGGCATTAGTCTATGGAATTCGACCTACCAGGGAGCACGAGCCAGAACTTGGTCCCTTCAGAGAGGTTGCTGGGAGCAAAGGCCCTGGTAACCCCACCTCTGGTTGGGGTTTTTCCTTATCTGCCTTCGACCGGGGGTTAGGCACCCAGAAAGGTGGTAGGCATAACAAAACAAACTCCACTTGGTAAGAAAATAACAACTAAAACCGAAAAGAGACGTAGAACTCCCTCCGTAGAACTCCGCGCCGGCTACTCAGCCCTCCAGTTTGTTAGCTAATGTGGTCCGAGGCAGACATCTTCTCTGGCCTCGATTCCAAGGCAGTGTTATGCCTTCGGGGTGACCTCTGCAGCGTTTTTGGGTGTGGTGGCCAGGTTTTCCTCATCTGTGCCGGGGCTGCATGCACTTAGGGGCTACCTTCCCTAGGCATCCTGTGAATACTGCCCTTGCATGTTAGGGTTCCCTTCCCTGGTGCATTCGGGATAACCATTTCCATGGGGGTTCTTGCTGCTCGGCATTTACCCTGCATTTGAGGCAGCTGGGGTTTTCATGTCCCTTTTTTGGCCTTGGGTAGGGAGTTGTATCGTGCTGTTTGGGACATCAAGGTGTTGTGCTGCCTGCCTACTTACGCGGCGACCAATTCCTGTTTTCCTCTGGGGAGTGTACTTTTGCGGGGTTTTTCTTTTGGTTTGGTTTTTCTTGCCTGGTGTGAGTCTACCTGGTGTGGCTATAGTTCCACTTATATTATTTTGGTGGCCCTCTGCTAGGACCCCGTGATTGTACACGTCGCAGGGGTTTCAGTGTTGTGATCAACCCCCCTTGTAAGCTTTGGTTCTTAACCGATTAACAACACCTTCACGTAGCAGTCAGGCTACGGGCCATGGAAAACCCTGTTAGGGCTCGGTGGACCAATGGATGTGTCTTCCGAGTTTCAGCCCGCCTTGTGCAGATTCGAAGGTTGCTGTGTGTCCTTGCCTCAGGGTGACAGTCATCTCTTTCGCCTCCGTCATGCTGCCTGTTGGGTCAACGACACCTTTGACCCGGAGTCTTGCGAGTCGAGTTCTCTGCTTGTTCTCCAGTAGTATTCTGATAACATTACTGTTGGGGTACAGGCAGCATCCACGTTGCATGTTAGTTTAGGTTGCTGCAATGTGCTAAGTTGATTTCCCACCCAGATGCCCCACAGCTACCCCGCTCTGGTTATAGGGACCCGAATCTGGGGGCGTTAGTCGCTTCGACTTTGGTTCAGTCCGCGCTCCCTGGTCCTTCCCCTTCTTGTTCATCCTGCACCTCTGCCCCTGCTTCTGGCTCCCAAATGTCTAAGGGTTTTGGAGTTGGAGCAGGGGTTTAGTTGATAATGAGACTCGGGCAGCTTTGTGGGGGGGCAGCCCCCGAAGCGCCAAAGCTGGAGCTGGTTCTTCTTGCCGAGGCTTCTGGCTTCCACCAGGAGGCCCACTTCTTTTCAGCCTTTTCCCCGGACTCTGCCATTTATTCAGGGGTAGAGGCTATGGAGGACAGCTCCGCCTCGGTTCCGATTTGGGGGATCCCGGGGCTGGGGAGGAGTTGACCTTTGGGGCCTTGGGCCCCTTTTTTTACCCCGCTTGGGTGTTAGTGCTCTCTTTGCGGGGCTTGTTTTTGCAGGGGGAGGGGTTTTCTTACTTCCCCTCCCCCTTCTCTGTACGAGTATGATTTGGGTTCGGGTCCAAGCTCCCTTGGATTCCTCAGCACCGTCCTTCCGGAGGTTTTCTGCCTCTCATATCTCACCTAAGGAGCTTCGGGAGGCTCTTGCTGCATACCTCCTGCAAGACCCGAATTCCGTCTCTGTTGTGGATCTGTCCTTCTTTGAGTTCGGTTCTTCCCAGTATTGGGTACGTTTGGGGTTACAGAGTCTCCCTGTCTGGCAGACTGCCCTTTCTTTTTGTTGGGGGCGTGGCATGGGTTCTGTTGGTCCCACATGCCTGAGTGGTGAGAAATGTCTACTGTTCTGCAGGTTTACCTGGGGGGGAGGGGGTTACTTTGAGTGCCTTAATGCATGCTTGTTCACCCCTATGCTTTTTTGGGGTGTTGGCCTTGTGCAGCTACACGTGCAGGTTCCTTCCCTTTCAGCATCCTTGGTTGTGGAGGATTTGCACGCCCGTGGGCATTTGGCTTCGGACTTGCGCTTCTTTTCCCTTCTCAAGCTGTTTTCTGCCTGGCTTGAGGAAGATGTGGAGATGTTGAGTTCTGGGCCTTCGTCTGATGTGCTGTTCTCGGCAGCTAGGGCGTCAGCCGCACTGTTGAGGCTGTTTGCGCCTTTCCTGAAGGAGGCGGTGCCTCTGTTCTTTCCTTCTCGCCTTGTGTGCTATCAGGCTATGCTTGCCCTCTTTTTGGAATCTGCTTGGGCCCTGGCTCTTAGGTTTTCATCTCCATTTTTTTCCGTTGCTGTTTGCAGAGGCTGCTTTCACGCAGTTTCTGCAGGCAGTTTCATCTAGTTGTCATCCTATATTGAACTTGTTGGTTCTCTGGGGCGGCCGTTCTCGGCCTTCTTGGAGGGGTTGTGCCAGGGCTCGGGTTTTCGCTGGTCGAGGTGGGCCATTGGTGCTAGCTTCTGAGCCGCTGTTCCCTTCAGAGCTGGCGTCTTGTGGTCGACCCGATGATCGCTCTGTTTGGCGGTTGGCTTCTCGTAAAGGGGTTGACCGCTTTTGTTGCATTCCTTTTGGCTTGCATCTGGCACCTCGCGTATTCACACGTCTTACCCGGAGTGTGGTGGCCCGTCTGCCTCTGCTAAGGGTTCGGGTCCTGGCCTACCTTGACGACTGGCTGGTGTGGGCTCCCAGTCAGTCCGCTTGTCTGCTCGCCAGGGATGTGGTTCTTTTCCAGCTCGCCGGGTTCAGGTTCCTGGTGAACTGGAGGAAGTCCCATCTGATTCTGTCCCAGGTTTGAACCTGGCTGGGTCTTGTTTGGTACTCTCAGACCGCTTCCATGTCTTTCCCTCCGGAGGCGTTGCTGCAGCTGTGGTCGTGCCTTCGTCTGTTATGGGGAGGGGGGGGGTCCCTGGTCATTTGGCGGTTGCTCGAGCAGTGATGCTGGAGTTTAAACTTTGGTGTGCTGGTCTACCCGCTGGGTCAGGTTTGGCTTTATCGTCTGTTCTGGTTCCTTCGGGGACGCCCCTTCCCCTTGTCTCGCAATCGCTGGGTTCATCCTCCGGAAGGAAGGGGGCCTTGCGTCGGTTGCTGCGTCACTGTCTTCCTCTTTGGGGTTTCCGGAGTTCAGTATCTTAGCGCCTACCCGAGCCCTTGCTCGATGTGTCCACAGACACTTCGTCTCTCGGCTGGGGCTTTGTGACCAGTGCTCACCATGCCGGCCAAGGGCGATGGGGTCCGTCCTTCTGTCTGGGCAGCACTGTGCGGGAGTTCGCTTTGGAAGGTTCAGGTCGCTCAAGGTTCGACCATTCGGCTCCATTCGAACTGTTCTTTGGTGGTTCATTGCCTGAACTGAGGGGATTCGATGCAGTTCTTGCCTCTTTGGGGCTGGTCGCTTTGTGTGGCTCGTCTGCTGGCTTCTGGGTTTGGTCCTCTGTGCGGTTCATGTCAAGGGAGTGTTCATATCCAGGGAGTGTCCAACGTCCTTACGGATCGTCTGTCTCGGTTCAATTCCTCTGTCCATGGAATAGACAATTAACGCCAACTCCTTCCGTTGGCTCTGCCAGACGTACGAACTCCCGAATGTGAACCTCTTCGTGTCGGTGTGGTCTTGGCATCTCTTGATCCACGTTGCCCCCTTCCCCAACAGCAAGGCTGTCGCAGTGGGCGCCTTTCTGCAAGACTGGTCGAGGTTGAGTTACCTGTACCTCTTTCCCCAGGTTCAGCTGTTGCTTCAGGTTCTGGCTCGGTTGGAGTCCTATCATAGGAGAGTAGTCCTCATGGCCCCTTGGTGGCCGGCCCAGCCCTGGTTCCAGGCGCTGCTTGCTCGGTGTGTGACCCCTGGACATTTTCCACAGCTCTGCCTCTTCCAGCAGGTTGGACCGGTCCGGTACACGGTTGGTTCAGTCTTCTCCTCTGCTTTTCGCGTCTGGTCTTTTTGACTCCGGTTTATCACTATTTGTATGGTGATCAGGTGGCTTCGTTGATAGTGTCCCACCTGAGAGCCTCGTCTCGGCGACAGTATGAAGTATCCTGGTGTTTTTTCCGCCATTTTCTCTCTTCGTAGGTTGTCTTCTATATCAGATCGGGTTGTTTTGTCCTTTCTGTCCTGACTTTTTCAGGATCGTCATTTGATGCCTAATACTGTCGCCTCGTATTGTGCGCCTCGTATACTGTGCCTCGTATTCTGGAGTGTGCGGGGCTGATGAAGCTACTCCACCTTGCGTTCTGGATGGATGTCTCTTGTGCCCCATTCCATAAGCTTTCTTGTGCTTTGTTTCACCTCCGGCCTGCTCATGAGCCGCCAGAGTCATCCTGGTCCTTGGACAGAATGCTTTCCGATCTTTCCTCTTCTCAATTTGTGGTGGCCCCTTCGGTTCGTAATTGTTTTTCCAAGGCTCTTTTTCTGTTGGCATTGGCCTCTGGGGGGTTGGGTTGAGGAACTGCATGCTCTCCTTTGGTGCAGGGATTTCTGCTCTTTTGGTCCTGGGGGTAGGTTTGTTCGGTTGCAGCCTTCTCCTTCTTTTCTGGCGAAGAACAAGTCGGCTGCTTTGCGGAGTGGTCCTTGGGTCAT